GGTTCTTTTCCCTCCTGGAGCTGTCTTCGGATTGGCTCGTGGAGGATGTGGGGACGCTTGGGTCCGTCCCGGGGTCCGGCACCTTGTCCTCGGCTGCGCGTTCGTCGGCTGCCTTGTTGAAGCTGTTCACGCCGATTTTGCGGGATGCGGTTTCCCTGTTCTATGCTTCCCGTCTCGCGTGTCGGCAGGCGGTGCTGGGTTCCTCCGTGGAATCTGCTTGGGCTCTGGCTCTTAGGCGTTCTTCACCTTTTTGTCCTCTCCTGTTTGGGGAGTCGGCCGTGGCGCAGTTTATTCAGGCTGCGTCGGCGGCTTGTCGTCCGATGTCGGACTTGTTGGTTTTCCGGGGGTCCCGGGGTGGGTCTTCCCGGAAAGGTCGTGCCAGGGCTCGGGGTTCCTCTCGTCGTGGTAGGCCTCTGGTGTCAGGTTTGGGGTTGGCTCCTCCTGCGGACCCTCCCTCGTCTGGTCGGCGCGGTGTTCGCGCTGTGCGGGGTTCTGGGTCTCGTAAGGGTCGCCGGCCCTTTCGCGGTTTGCCCCTTTGACGGGGCGATGGGGGGGCGGCTTGCGCTGTTCGCCCGCGCCTGGTCCCACGATTCGTGGGCCTTTCGGGTCGTGTCTCGCGGCCTGCGGTGGCGTTGGGTGGCCCCTCCCCCCTTTGGGGGGTCGGGGCTGGCGGGGCAGGCTTCTTCCCCTGCGCTCTGTCGTTTCGTCTTGGAGTGGGTACGCTTGGGCGTCGTCGAAACGACGTCGTCCCTCAGATGGGTTTCCCGTCTGTTTCCGGTTCCGAAACGGGACTGCGCGGACCTGCGGTTCATTCTGGACTTGTCCCGTCTGAACCCCTGGGTTCATTGCCCCTCCTTTCGGATGACTACGCTGTCTCAGGTTCGGCTCCTCTTGGAGCCGGGTGCTTGGATGGTGTCCCTGGACCTCCGGGACGCTTATTGGCATGTCCCGATTCATCCGCGGTTCAGGGACTGGCTCGGTTTTGTAGTGGGGCGTCTGAGTTACCGCTTTCGTTGTCTCCCGTTCGGTTTGAACCTGGCACCTCGCGTGTTCACACGCCTTACACGGGTTGTGGTGGCTCGTTTGCGTCTCCTAGGTGTTCGGGTGTTGGCCTACCTCGACGACTGGCTGGTTTGGGCTCCCAGCCAGTCAGCTTGCTTGCTAGCCAGGGATTTGGTTCTTTCCCAGCTCGCCGGGTTCGGGTTCTTGGTGAACTGGAGGAAGTCCCATCTGGTTCCCTCTCAGGTTCGGACTTGGCTGGGTCTCGTGTGGGACTCTCGGACCGCCTCCTTGTCTCTCCCTCCGGAGTCTCTCCTGCGGCTGCGGTCCCGCCTTCGTCTGTTTCTGGAGGGCCCTCGGGTCACCCGGCGGTTGCTCGAGGGGCTGTGCGGGAGCCTGAACTTCGCGATGGTGGTCTACCCGCCGGGTCGGGTTTGGCTTCGACGGCTGTTCTGGTTCCTTCGGGGTTCCCCCTTCCGCCTCTCTCGCGATCGCAGAGTTCGACCCCCGGGGGACTTGCGTCGGTTGCTGCGTCACCGGCTTCCTCTTCGGGTTTTTCGGGGTTCAGTGCCTTGGCGCCTACCCGAGCCCTCGCTCGATGTGTACACGGATGCGTCGTCTCTCGGCTGGGGTTTTGTGACCAGTGCTCACCAGGCCGGCCAGGGGCGTTGGGATCCGTCCTTCCGTCGAGCTCACAGTACGGTGCGGGAGTTCGCGGCAGTGTGGTTTGCTCTGGGGAGGATTCGGGTGGCCCGCGGATCGACGATTCGGCTCCATTCGGACTGCTCTCCGGTGGTTCATTGCCTGAACCGCGGGGGTTCGATGCGGTCCTTGTCTCTTTGGGGTTGGTCGCTTCGGGTGACTCGTCTGCTGAGTTCTCGGGGTTTGGCTCTCCTGGCGGTTCACGTACGGGGCGTGTCCAGCGTCTTGGCCGACGCCCTGTCTCGCTTCGTTCCCCTCTCCACGGAGTGGACGGTCGACGACGAGTCCTTCCGTTGGCTTTGCCAGACGTTCGGGCGCCCCGAGGTGGACCTCTTCGCGTCGGCGTGGTCGCGGCGTCTTCCCGTTTATGCGGCGCCCTTCCCCGATTGCGAGGCCGTCGGGGTCGATGCCTTTCGGCTCGACTGGTCGAGGTGGGGGTTCCTGTACCTCTTTCCCCCAGTTCGGCTGTTGCTCCAGGTCCTGACTCGCTTAGAGACTTACCAGGGGAGAGTTGTCCTTCTGGCCCCTTGGTGGCCGGCCCAGCCTTGGTTTCAGGCGCTGGTTGCTCGGTGTCCGAACCCGAGGGTTTTCCCGCGGCTCCGCCTCTTTCAGCAGATCGGGCCGGTACGTCACGTAGCTGGTTCGATCTTCTCCTCGAGTCTTCGCGTATGGTTTTTTTGACTCGAGTCTATCATCATCTCTATGGTGATCAGGTGGCCTCCTTGTTGGTGTCCCACCTGAGGGCTTCTTCTCGGCGGCAGTATGAAGTTTCCTGGCGGTCCTTCCGTTTCTTTTTGCGTCTTCGTCGTGTTAGCTCCTTGTCTGTTCGGGTGGTCTTGTCCTTCCTCTCGTGGTTGTTTCAGGACCGTCATCTTATGCCTAACACTGTCGCTTCGTATCGTGCGGCGCTGGCGGAGCCGCTTCAGCTTGCTTTCGGTATCGATGTTACGTCTGCGCCGTTTCGCAAGCTGTCTCGTGCATTGTTTCACCTCCGGCCTGCTCATGCGTCGCCTGAGCCGTCCTGGTCTTTGGACAGAGTGCTCGCTTTCCTTTCATCTCCTCGTTTCGTTGTGGCCCCTTCGGTCCAGGATTGTTTTTCCAAGGCACTTTTCTTGTTGGCTTTGGCCTCTGGGGGTCGGGTAGGGGAGCTTCATGCTCTCCTCCGGCGCAGGGGTTTCTGCTCTTTTGGTCGTGGTGATAGTTTTGTTCGTTTGCAGCCGTCTCCTTCTTTTCTGGCGAAGAATGAGACTGCTGCGTTCCGGAGGGGTCCATGGGTGGTTGATGCTTGGTTGGTCAGGCCGGGGGTGCATCATGTTTTGTGTCCGGTTGCGGCGCTTCGCCGTTATTTGCGCGCCACAGCTTCTGTGTCCGGGGACGCGCTGTGGGTTGATCCGGTTTCCCTTCTTCCCTGTTCGCGGGTTCGGGTCTCTCAGGTCGTCCGCAGGGTTATTAGGTCTAGCCAGCCTGCGGTCTATCCCCGTGCCCATGACGTTCGTAAGTTCGCGGCTCTTGCTGCCGTCTTTGGGAATATGTCTTGGTCTGATATTCGGGCGCGGGGATTTTGGCGGTCGAACAGGGTCCTGGCTGCTCGCTACCTTGTGAATGTCCCTTGCCCTCGTCGGGCATGTGTTGCTTTGGGTCGGCGGTTGCAGCCAGTTGTCTCGGCTTCGAGTTGAGGGGTGAGCGACGACCGCCTCCCGGGTAAGTCCCTCTTTTTCTGTCTGTGGGTAGTTAGCTCCGGGGAGCCGACGGGGCTCCCCCCAGAAAACCAGCGTTGAATGTAATGAAACGCCATTTTCTGGGTGAGTCCCGGAGGCTCCCCGGCATCCCTCCCTCCCTCCGGTCGGCGGTTTTTCGCGTTTTTGACATCCAGCCTCAAGAACTGAGGTGTGGGTAGCCGGCGCGGGGGGTCTGGGGCTCCCCCTTCCCCCTCCCGGGGAGGGGGGAGCTGCGCAGACAGCGGCGCGGCAGTGTGTGACGTCACACTAATTTGCTTGTTTTCGGTTGGGGAGTTCTATCCACTAGTTCGGTATTAGGTAGCAATTTTAACCAGAATAGGGGTTTGTTTTGGGGCGCTTACCTTTCTGGGTGCCTGTTCCGGTCGATGGCAGACATAGAATGCTTCCAACTACACGGGGGCTTCTATAGGCCATTGCTCCCCTTGCCTCTCTGAGGGGGCCCGGTTCTGGCCGTGGTCCCCGGTAGGCCTAAGAACTCCATACACATGACTGATGCCAAAGTCTGACATTAGCATATCAGCCTGGGATAGCTCCGGGGAGCCTCCGGGACTCACCCAGAAAATGGCGTTTCATTACATTCAACGCTGGTTTTTTGTCATACACATCAATGACATAGATGAGAATATTACAAACCACGTCATCAAGTTTGCAGATAACACAAAGATTAAAGTGGGAAATGATAATGATGTTGAAGCCTAACAAAGAGATACTGTATACATGAACTACACAAATGGTCAGATGGCTGGCAAATGCTTTTTAATATCGACAAATGCAAGACCTTGCATGTGGGGCATAACAACCCACACTACAACTACCAAATTTAATGGCATTACATCACAGCAGATTGATGAAGAAAAGGACCGTAGAGTCAAAATCCACCACTCGATGAAAGTTGCACAGCAGGTAGGAGCAGCAGTCACTTGGAATAATCAAGAATACCTTTGACATTAAGGGAAGGAAGATAATGATTCACTTGTATAAATCTCTGGTGCAGGGCTCACCAGAGTAATCCATTTGGATTACTGTATCCAAGCATGGAGACCTCATCTTCATAAGGACATAGCTGCTCTCGAAAAAGTGCAACACCGAGCAACAAAAATCATACCAGAGCTAAGTCAACTCATGTACCAGGAATGTTTGAGGGCCACAGGGCTAACAACACTGCAAACCAGGCATGACAGGGCAGATTTAATTGAAAGTTTTAAAATACTGAACAATTTGGAGGATGTTGATCGGAAAAATTTCTTCAAAAGGTCAGATGTAACACAAAAAAGGAACAATGGTGTCAAGCTCAACAAGCCACAATGTAGGACTGTGAACAGAAGATGCTTTGTTACCAACATGGTTATAAACCCAATGAACTGCCTACCCACCAAAGCTGTAAATGCCAAAACTATTAACAGTTTAAGTACAGCTGCAAAAATCATCAAGGCAAATGGGGGAAACCTTAGACAAGCTGCCGGCTTCCTGCTCTCATTGAGGTCACTAGTGTTAGTGGCTCTTGGGTAAACACTGACAGGTTGGGGAGGTTCATGCAGGTGGTGCACGTGTATGTTGCAGGCCTGGTGGCTGACAGGTTCGGGAGGTTCAAGCAGGTGGTTGTAGCGAACATGGTGCTGACAGTTGTTCTACACTGTGCGTTGCTGTATGTGCCGGCGCGGCCCAGAGCCTCCATCAGGATGTCCTGTGGGCCTGATGGCAACGTCCTCACCTGGTCCTGCAACACCTGTCACCAACAACTCAACAACACCCAGCTACAACTGACTTTGCAGGTAAACTGTAATTTAATTAAGATTAAAACTTAGAATCTTTTAGTTTCTAGAACTTGTTGTTTTGTGTATGTAATAAGTATTATACCCCCCTGAAGGACAGAAATAGCCTAAGCAACTCTATCCCTTTGAGATGTATTTTATTATCTCAATAAACGTACGTACTTGAACGCCTTTAAGTTGCCAGTATATACTGTACAGCATATACACTGATAAAAAAAAAGTTTAGTTCTGGATTAAGTTCAAGACTAAAGTATTTACCTCAGGACCACTATCTCAATAGTGGCTTTGATGGGGATAGTAAGCCAGCGGCTTGTCGAAGGTCCCCCCATTTTTCCTGATTTTATCCAGGCTGTTTTTTTAACTTAATGTCTTGGCATTTGCAGCTTTGGCAGGTGAGATGAAGCCATTTCTCTTTGAATGAGTTACATCTGACCTGTTAAAGAAGTGGTCTGGATCAGTATTCTCCAAATTGTTTAGTATTTTAAAAATTGAGGTCAGCTCTTTCATGTCTGGTTTGCAGTGTTAGCCCTGTGACCTCAACCATTCCTGGTATGAGAGTCAACTTAGTTCTGAAATTATTTTTGTTGAACTTTCTCCAAAGCAAATATGTTCTGAAGATGAGCTCTCCATGCTGGAATATGCCATGGCGTTTGAGTGGGTGTCTTGGCACTACTGTAATTTCCTTTTGGGTTATTGGATGTTCTCCCTGCCATCTGATGGTGCCTTTACTGACGGGGGCTGGATTCTGGTCCTTGGGCTCCGTTAGGTGCTTATGGCTCACAAGATTTGGGTGGGGTGCTCTAGGTTTGAAGCTGAGCAGGCTGGTCGTTTGGGGAGCCGCGGAAAGAAGCCCCAGAGAACAAATAAACATGGCGTATTTCCAGTTGGTGTCGTGCTTACTGTTTCTTCAGGCAAGGGCTGCTTGTACCAGTTTCTTCTGGCAAGAGCTGTGTATACCAATTTCTGCAGATCTCCCACATAAAGAACTTGACAAGGCATGCACAGTCAGTTACAGCCTCGCTCCTATGCCAGGTAAGTCCACTATGGACTCACCATAGCCCATGCTACTTGGAACTTTTGTTCCGAGTAGCTGAATTTTAAATAAGAATAGCAGCAGCATGCACAGTGGGATAAATGTAGCAGGGAACTATTATCTGTAATATACAAATCTCCATTGTCTGTTCTGTAATAATAGTGCCTTTGATAAAGGCGCGGTCTTTTTCATATTGAAAGTGAAACACGTGACTAGCGACAAGCGGAGGGGTTAGCACCATTGGCAGCTGGGAACAGTACATCAGGGGCGTGCCCAGGTCAAGTGCTCTCTTCTCCACCATAGATTGTTGTTGTTTTAGATTCAGCTACTCGGAACAAAAAGTTCCAAGCAGTACGGGCTATGGTGAGCCTATCGTACTTACCTGGCACAGGAGATGTGCGTCCGCCATAGATGTTTCACTCTCAGAGCACGAAACAAAAATTGTTTAATTATTCTTAAAAATGCTTTATAAAAATGTCTCTTATATGACTGATTCAACAGCTACAGGTGCTGTTATTAACATCAACATTTTTATAATAGAGTTAATCAGTTAATTAATAGTATACATACAGTACATGTATACTTCAGCTGTGTGAGTTCGACTGTGTGTCTCCGCCCTCGGAGCTGAGCGTGTGTGTCCACGAGGAGGATCTCGCCACCTGCCACAACTACTCTCTCTTTGATCAGGTATTTTGTTTTGCTTTGACTGAATTTGAGGTTGTTTTCGAACCCGTTGTTCATATACTTTGAACTGTGTAACTAAATGAATTTTGGAGTTCAGTTCCTGAGCCTATTATGTGCCTTTGTAACCCTTTCCACTACCATGCACAGGGTGAGTATTGGGTGCATATTAAATGAACTAAACTAACACTGAAATTTATACAAAATTTAATGGATGTTATTCAATGTACCATTGAGGAAGGTATGGGATGGAAATTGAAAATAAAGTAGAATTAAGAACAAAATGAGAGGTGGGTAATTTACATTTCCTTTTTGTGAGGAATAAGTCTTTTCTGCAAGGATTGGACATTTAAGGAGTAGATTTTGCTTTGAATAGACAGCAATAGATTGCATTTGAAGACAGAATCAATAGTAGACAAATTTGGAAACATTATTTTAATGTGGGAGTTTAATTATATAGTTTCATAACTAACAGATCACGCTCAACGGTACAGTATTGTCATGGAGAGAGGAGGAGAAGTGCAACCACACTTTGTACAACCCGCTGTACGACCAGCAAGTGTACCACACCCTTTCCTGCTCCTCCCAGTGCCATGTTAAGTGCCAGGTGATGCAGGTGCCACAGTGCCACGTGTCCGATGACCCTGACTCCACTGCCAACACTTTCTGGATCTACTTTGTTCTTCGCATGATAGCCACCTTCTTTTTGAACTCTCTGTTTACTATGATGGTGAGTGTGTCATCATGGGTTTTCTAATGAAGTCATCATAATAGTAATATTTTTTTTTTTTTTTTTTTTTTTTTTTTTTTTTTTTTTTTTTTTTTTTTTTTTTTTTTTTTTTTTTTTTTTTTAACCTTTTGTGAGTATGGTGACTCATTTTCTCTACCTCGCTTTCTATCCTGGCAGGATGCGATGACATTGGCTATTGTGAGACAACACAATGGAGACTACGGTAAACAGCGCTTCCTCTTCATCCTCGGCCTGGCCACAGTGCCTCTCTTGGCCGGCTTCACCCTCGACTGGCACGAGGCGTCCGTTGGTAGGCAGCATGCTCGTGTCCTGATGTGGGGTGAAATACTGTACTGAGATCTGTCAAACCTTTTCTGGTGATGGGCGGAAATTCAGATCTGTCTCTAATCTATTCTGATGTGGGGTTGAGACATGATATCTCTCTTGTACTCCTGGTCTGGAGTGAAAGGATGTACAGTACAGGTGTACTTTTTTTTCATCACAGGTGTTGGGTACAAGAGTGAGATCTGTCTGTACTTTTTATGGGTGCAATAGTCGAGATACCGATGTCTCTATCTAGATGTGCTTAGTAGTGCAATGAATGCTCTCTCTTTCATTTAAATTTAAAATTGTATTAATTAGCTATGACATTTTCTTCATCTAGCACATTATATATATATAGTACTTATATCTCTTGCACTGGACTATTCTTAATTCTGACATCTCTGACTATCAAACGTACTTTTTACACAGTATTTTGTATTGTTTATTTACCTGACGATCTGATGATTTTTTCAACCTGGATTTTAAAATGTAACAGTTTTGGTATTTATGGCTTCGGAGGTTAGGTGTTTCCATGGGTTTATAACCCCATGGGTGAAAAATCATCTCCTGTTTTCAGTTCTGCATTGTGGCTTGTTGAGCTTGACACCGTTTACTTGTTTGTGTTACATCTGAACTTTTGAAGAAATTGTCCGGATCACCATCCTCCAAATTGTTCAGCTGCATATGCTCAGGGTTACCTTCCCTGTGTGCTCCCTAGCACTGTCATTGTATTGCTAGAGTTGTCTTCTTTGAAGTGTTCGAGAGTCGCTCCTGGTCTCACGATTTGAGGGCTTTTTGGGTTGTTTCATAGTAAAGTTGGTTGGGTCCTTACCTTTCTAAGGGTTCAGATCTTTCCAGGCAGGCTTTTCTTTTTGGTATTGTCAAAAAGACTGCCTTGCTTTGATAAGTTTCCCGGCTGTTACCTGTTCCAAAAAGGATCTCGCCCATTCCAGACTGAAGGCCCCATGTTCTGGAAGACTACTTTGTCCTTGGGTTTATTTCATATTACAGGCAGACTCTTGAATGCTCTCTCTGGACCTCCAGGATATGTATTGGAACATCTCTATACATCCAAGGTTCAAGGATTGATTAGGTTTTGTGGTAGGGTGGCAAGCTTACCACTTTCAGTTTCTCCTGTTTGGACTGGCTTCACACGTGTTAACATACTTGGCTTTTGTTGTAGTGATACTGTCGCCTAAATATCATGCGCCAATGGTGGAGGCGTTGCAGCTTGAATTCAGTATTTATACTACCTTCGTAGCATTTCACAGGCTCTCTCGCACCTTGTTTCACCTCCAGCCTACTCGTGCGCCACTTATAACTGCATGGTCTTTGGACTGTGTTTTCGCCTTTATTTTCTCTTCTCATTTTTTGGCTGTCTCCTCATTAGTTTGTGATTCTTTTTCCAATGCTTTGTTTTTGTGTGTCTTGCCACCTGTGTATCTTTGGTGTCTCAATGGTTGTTTGGTAAGGGAGCTTCATGCTTTCCTCAGGAAGGGTGGTTTCTGTTCCTTTGGCCATGGTGGGCATTTGGTTTGCTTGCAGCCAGCTCCTTTTTCTGGCAAAGAAGCAGTTGGTTGGCTTTTGGAGGAGTCTTTTGGTTCTTGACGGTTAGTTTGGCTGGGGGTGAATCCTATACTGTGTCCAATGTCCAGTGGCAGCTCTCTGCCTCTACCTTTGTGCCATCAATTCTGCTTCAGTGGATACTTTGTAGATTGATCTGTTTCCTTGGTTTCCTGTGGCAATGCTTGTGTTTCTCAGGTTGTCTACAATGTTTTTAAGTCAAGCCAGTCTGCAGTCTACCCATGTGCCCATGATCTTCGAAAGTATGCCGCTCTCATGGCTATATTTGGTAATAGTCCTGGGCTTTCCTGGAAGTTGCAGGAATTCTTGAAACCTGCAACTTTAAGAACAAAGAGGTCATATAGATTCAAGCTAAGGAAGCAAAGGTGCCAAAAATATATTAGAAAGTTCTCTTTTTTTTCTAAACAGTGATAGACAGTTGGAACAAGTAAAGTGAGAAGGTGGAGGAGGCCAAAACCATCAATATTTTCAAAGCATCATATGACAAAGTATATACAGTACTGGGGAAAATGGGACACCACAAACATAGTGTATTTACAGGATAAAAGCTGAGGTAAATTACATAACTAATAGTGACACACAATAGTGGATGTAGCAAATAAGTGTAATGAACGTAGTGTAAAATGTGATGTTCCCTTCCCTCCATAGGTTATAAGGACTACTCTCCCGCCTTCTACCTGGGTGCTGCCCTCTGTCTTGTCTCTGCTGCTCTCATCACCAGACTCTGCTTCACGGTAGGTCACCACCACCACCATGCAAGGCTGTTTTCTGGGGGGAGCCCCGTCGGCTCCCCAGAGCTTATCCAGGCTGATATGCTATATGGGGGTTCAGTTTTTAGAAGGTTGTTTGGTAGACTTGGGCGCCGGTTAGCAGTACCCTGCCTACCCTGCCTGGGATTACCTGGGCATGAGATACGTTAAACGCTCAGGACCGTGGGAATTCCCTTAGGGGACGCGTGGGTCCGATGGATGTGTCCTAGGAGTTTCCCCTCGCTTTGTTGGAGTTCGAGGGTTGCTCGGTCCCCTTGACTCAGGGTGACCCTCACAGTTTTTGCCTCCGTCTGCCGCCTGTGGGGTCGGGAGCACCTTCGACCCGGAGTCCTGCAAGTTTTGTTGCTTGTTTGTGACTCGGTTACCTGGTCTTATGCTTACTATGCGGGTGCAGGCAGCACGGGCGTTGCACGTCGAGTTCAGGTGGTGGCAATGCGCTGGGTTGTTTGCTCCTCGGAAGCCCTGAGGCTGCCCCGTTTTTGGTTGTTGTGACAAGGCTTGGGGATGTTATTTGCTTCGGTTTTGTTCCTTCCTCACCCCCTTGTCTTTTCCCTGTTGTGGTTTAGTCTGGCCCCCCCTTCTTCCCTGCATCTGGATCCTTCGTCTGTGGATTTGGGGTCGGGGCAGGGTTTCGAGTGTCTTAAGACTCGGGCGGTCTCGGGGGTTTCCCCTTCTGGGGTAGCGACGCAAGCATTCGAGCCTGTCCCTCCAGCCAGGTTGTATGAGTCTTCCAGTGGGCTCCCTTCCTTAGTATCTTTCTGCCTGCCCCGGCCTTTTCTTTTGAGGCTGGGGTGACGGCTCGGCCCCGGGGCCTGCCATGGAGGTTCCTGGGGTTGGGGAGGGGCTGACTTGGAGGGCCTTGGGCCCCATTGGACCCCGCCGGGGTTTTCTACCCTCAGTGCGGGGTCTTGCCGTTGCGGGGTTTTTCCTTCCCCCCCCCCCCCTCTGTGTACGTCGTTTTGGGCGTCGGTCCCTCCCCGGGTTCAGATTCTTGTCCCTTCGGGTTCGTTCGGTTCCGTCCTATCAGTGGGTACTTTTCTCTGGGGCGAGACTTCTCCGTCATGGAGGGGTCATGTTCCCCTGTTATCGGGGTTTCTGCATGACTTTTGGTCTCTGGTGCAACTGTGCCTTCTGTGCCTTTGTGATATTGTTTGCTTCTGTGCGATCTCGAAGGTTCGGGGAGGTCTTCAATTCTTCCCGCATTATTGGAATGTTTGTCGTCTTCCTGTGAGGCTAACCTTCGGTCCTTTTTGGACTTGTTGGTCCTCTTCCGTGCTTCCTGTTTTTTTAAACTCTCGTTCTTTTGTCATTATTCCTTGTCTCCGTGCTCTGTCTAGGCACAGCTAATATTTTGTGATACGCCTTGTGGGCATAGCACCGCTCCTGTGCCAGGTAAGTCCACTACAGTATATAATCCTGAGGAGCCGACGGCGCTCCCCCCAGAAAACCAGCATTGAATGTAATGAAAAGCCATTTTCTGGGTGAGACCCAGAAGTTCCCAGGCATCCCTCCCTCCCTCCCAGTTGGCTTTTTTTTTTTTTCTTGTCTTTTGATATCCAGCCTCAGAACTGAAGGGTGGATAGCCGGCACGAGTGTCTGGGGCTCTGTCTGCGAGCTGCGCAGACAGCGGCACGGCGACGTACGACGTCATGCTCGTTTGCTTGTTTCTTTTTGAGGGAGTTCTATCCACTTGTTCGGCTTTTGGTGGCAATTTTCACCAGAATAGGGGTTTATTTTGGGACGCTTACCTTTCTGGGTGCCTGACTCGATCAATGGTAGACATAGAATGCTTCCAACCACACGGGGGTTTCTATAGGCCATTGCTCCCCATGCCTCTCTGAGGGAGCCAGGTTCTGGCTCGTGGTCCCTGGTAGGACCACAGAACTCCATACACATGACTGATGCCAAAGTTTGACATTAGCATATCAGCCTGAATAAGCTCCGGGGAGCCTCCGGGTCTCACCCAGAAAATGGCGTTTCATTACATTCAACGCTGGTTTTTTCTCAATAGGTAATCACCACACCAGGCTCCATTTCATAATAGGTCACCACCACCATTATGCTACCCTTCGTTTCTAGGTAAATCATTTCCATTACTCCAAGCATCACTTCTTGGTAGATAACCACCCAGTTAAGCCGTAAATGGTAAGGCTTAGTACGGCAAGGCTTAGTACAACAGGACTTCATACAGCAAGGCTTCAGTACAAACCATTCAGTTTGAAAAATCCTGAGGAGCAATGGGGGGGGGGGGACCCTGACACAGTGCCAGCTTTCTGTCCCCATCAAAGCCACTAAGTATAAAGATACAGCATAGTGACCTTCAGATAAATTATCACCACCACACCTTGTAATTCTTGTCTCTGTGATCCTGTCATGTTCTCTTCAAACTGCATCTTGTTGTTTTGTTAATGCGTAAGCTGCGGTTTTCAAAACAGTTATTCTCTTATATGCAAACAAATTTCATCCACTTTTTTATTTAGTCAAAATTTACTGATTTCTTCCAAAATATTCAGTGGCACCATTATTGGCCATTTGAAGCTGTTTTCCCTCTTATTATATACCTGTATGTTTTCTTATACTGTATTGACATGAATGAAAATAATGTGGATGGAATTTAATCAAAAGTAGTAAAGGATGGCAGATGAACTATGCTACCACTAAAACTCCTTTTCAGAAAATCTCTGGGTCAAGGGACAGTTCTCCTAGATTAGAAACATGCAAATGTCACCCATATTAAAAAAAAAAAGTTAACTGCTGTCTTACCAGCTTGATAGTGCACATTTGCAAGCTCTTGGAGAAAATCCTAAGAGAGGGAATAATTCATCTTACAATGAACAATCTTGTAAAATCAGTACAACATGGGTTTGTTAAAAACAGATCCTACCCTACAAGTCTGCTCACATCTTTGGAAATGGTAACCAGCTATTCAGATAAAGGACTTACGGTATCTAAATATAATGTACGTAGTAGTATACATGGACTTTGCTAAAGCTTTTGACAAGGTACCACATGAAAGATGAGCAAGGAAATTACAGGGACATGTAATAAATGATTTATAACGTGCCTGCAGATAATAGAATGGATAAAACAAAGGAAACAAAGGGTCTTGCTAAAATGGAAGGAATCTGTCTGCAGAAATGTAGTGAGCAGGGTACCACAACGGTCCATTTTGTGGCCACCCCTTTTTGTCATATTCAATACATCAATGACATAGATGAGAATACAGTAGATTGTATTACAAACTACATCCCCAAATTTGCAAATAACATTTAAGATTTATGGTACAATGGGAAGTGAAAATTATATTGAGGTCTTACAAAGAGGTCTACATAAATTCCACAGATGGTCAGAAACCTGGAAAATGCTTTTTAGTATAAAAAAATGCAAGACCTTACATGTGGGGCATAACAATCCACATCACAACTACCAAATTAACATTACTTTGCAGTAAATTGATGAAGAAAAGGACCTTGGAGTCAGAATCCATCATTCACCTGTGTCACTAGTAGTGGCAAAAGTGAAACTGGAAGTTAAAAAAGCTAACCAAACCCTAGGAATAATCATGTATACCTTTGACTTAAAGGAACAAAAAGTAGTAGTTCAATTGTACAACTCTGGTGCACCCCACCTGGATTATTATATCCAAGCATGGTCACCTCATCTTCAGAAAGATATACTGTAGCTTCTTTGGAGAAACTTCAATGCCAGGTAATAAAAGTCATTCCAGAACTAAGTTGACTCTCGTGCTAGGAAAATTTGAGGTCCACAGGGCTAACACTGCAAACCAGACATGATAGGGCTGATCTCGTCTAAACTTTTCAAATACTGAACAGTTTGGAGTATGTTAATCCAGACATCCTCCTCAAAAGGTCAGATGTAACACAGACAAGGAGCAATGGTTTCAAGCTCAACAAGCCACAATGTAGGACTAAAAATAGAAGATTATTTTTTGGGCACAGAGTTATAAACCCATGGAACCGCCTACCAACCAAAATTGCAAATTCCAAATTTCTATTGAACTTTAAAATCCAGCTTGAAATCATCATCAGGACAAATGGAGTGGACTCTTGACAAGCCACCGGCTTCCTATCCTTGTTGAGGCCACTTGTTTGTTAGTGCCCTTCAGGTAAATAATATGGCAACACAAAGTATATAATCAATAATACCTAGTATATATAAAAATCATAATTTTCCATTATCAGGGGTAGAAAACCTGGTAATTTTATCAGTGTTCCCATAGACCAACTACTGTCTCCATAATGTGACCCACAACAGTCATTTAACTCCTATGTACCTATTTGCTGCTAGGTGTACAGAGGCATCAGGACTACGGAAATGTGCCCATGCATCTTGCCTTGCCCTGAACTCGAACTCTGGGCCAACTGGTTGCAAGTTGATTTTGCTAGCTATTATACTACCAGTATATTTTAAATGTTTGGAATTACTTTTCTATGCATGATGTTATCATATGGCTTAAGACACAATTAAATTTTTAATAGGACTTTATAACTGGAGGACATTAGAGTGCCAGAAATATTTTTGTTCAATAAAATAACCTTTCATGAACTAACTTGCCTAAGACATCCTGCAGTGTTCGAGTATCCATAGAAGCTGACTGCAGTGATAGCATACTCATCATAACATATTCGTTCATCACAGCTAAAGGGTTAGCAATAAATTATAGAGCAGATGTTTTAGTGTTCCAATTTTAAAAAACATTCTGAAAAATTTGACTCTTTATTGACTTTTGTATATTATTACTCTTACAAATACCAAATTAAATCATTTTAAAAATGTACTCGATTACTTTTGGTAATCAACAGTAGATTTGTAGAGACCTTACACCTGGATATATACCATGAACAGGTGGAGCCATCTGGTGATAAGGTTGTGGCTGATCTTTTGAAGCTGGTAACAAGACCAGAGATCAATGTGTACCTGGTGATGGTGCTGGTGATGGGCTCCAACTGGGGCTTCCTTGAGAGCTACCTCTTCCTCTACCTCGAGACTCTTCATGCACCCAGCTACCTCATGGGTATTACGCCTTTTACACTCATAATACTAATAATAATAATAATTTATAATTGTTGTACACTTAATTATTTTAAGGGGGCGTCTGGTTATTATAATGAAAGTTGTTCAATGTCAACCAATATTATTTTTCTAGTTGTATATGAAAAGTGCTTAAATTGTCCCAAGTTTCAGTACTGCAGCGTAAATAGAAAGGGAGTTTTTTTTTTTTTTTTTTTTTTTTTTTTTTTTTTTTTTTGAACGTTTTTTACACATTTTCAAGTCCACACTTCAGAACACACGTTTCAGATAAAATTATTCTGTGACACTTTTCTGACACATTAGCATATAATAAAGGATTTGGGGATTTAGAATTTCCAAAACATCTTTAGTTTTCCTATTTTCTGGGGGGAGCCCCGTCGGCTCCCCGGAGCTATCCCAGGCTGATATGCTAATGTCAGACTTTGGCATCAGTCATGTGTATGGAGTTCTTAGGCCTACCGGGGACCACGGCCAGAACCGGGCCCCCTCAGAGAGGCAAGGGGAGCAATGGCCTATAGAAGCCCCCGTGTAGTTGGAAGCATTCTATGTCTGCCATCAACCGGAACAGGCACCCAGAAAGGTAAGCGCCCCAAAACAAACCCCTATTCTGGTTAAAATTGCTACCTAATACCGAACTAGTGGATAGAACTCCCCAACCGAAAACAAGCAAATTAGTGTGACGTCACACACTGCCGCGCCGCTGTCTGCGCAGCTCCCCCCTCCCCGGGAGGGGGAAGGGGGAGCCCCAGACCCCCCGCGCCGGCTACCCACACCTCAGTTCTTGAGGCTGATGCTATAGGCGATGGTCGTGTGCTCTGGCTCCGGTGTCGCTACTGCACTGTGCTTTGAGTGTGGTGTTAGTTTTGTGGGTGCGAGAGCCAGGAGTTATCTTCAGTACTCGGGCTGCATGCGCCTAGGGCTGCCTTCCCTAGGTGCCCTGTAAGTACTGCCCTTGGGGCTTGGGGCCACCTTCCACAGGCTCCTCGGGGTCTGCCTCTGCTGGTCCGTTTTACCTTTCGGTTTTTCGGCCGCCTGTTGGGCTCTTGGGTGTTCTGTTCTCCCTTGTTACCGGCAGGTAAGAGGCAGTTTGCACTGGTAGGGGCGCAGGGTGCTGCTCAGCTTGTATTTCCCGACATCGCGGCCGGCTCTGTTCCTTGGGGTTCGCTGTCCTCTTGCGGGGTTTTGTTTTTCTTTTTGTTTTTGCCTGGTGGGGGGTTCTGTCATTTTATTCAGTTTGTTTTTGCCCTTCCACTGTTCTCCTCGGTGGCGCCCCCTGCTAGGTCCCCGTGAGTGTACACGTCCCTGGGGTTCAGCTTTAGAAGTTTGCTTGGTAGTTTTGGGCGCCGGTTTGCAGCACCCTGCCTGGGACTACCTGAGCGCGAGTCCTCTTAAAGTAAACGCTCAGGACCCTGGGAATCCCCTAGGGGGCGCGTGGGTCCGATGGATGTGACCCCGGAGTCCCCACTCGCTGTGTGCGAGTTTGAGGGTTGCTCGGTCCCCTTGTCTCAGGGTGACCCTCATTGTTTTTGCCTCTGCCACGCTGCCTGTTGGGTCGGTGATACTTTCGACCCTGAGTCCTGTGAGTGTTGCTGCTTGCTTGTGACTCAATTTACCCAATCCTCTGATGATTCTATTCGGGTACAGGCGGCACGTGCGTTGCAGTCTAGGTTTCGTCTGTTGCAACGCGCTCGGTTGGTTGCTTCCCCGGATGCCCCGGGGCTGCCCCGCTTTGCTTTTCGAGACCCGGACTTGGGGGTGGGGGTCGCTTCGATCCTGGTTCAGTCCGCACCTCCTCGTCCTTCCCCTTCTGTTCGTTCTGGTCCCCCGCCCCTGCTTCCGGCCCCGAAGCGTCTGAGGGTTTCGGGGTCGGAGCAGGGGTTACTTGATCTCGAGACTCGGGCAGCTTCGGGGGTTGCCCCTTCCGGGGGGGCGGCAGAGGCATTCGAGTCTTGTCTCCCGGCCGAAGCTTCAGGGTCTGACCAGTGGGCCCCCCTTCCTCCAGCTTTTCCGGCTGCTCCGTCCTTGTCTTGTGGGGTCGGGGCTTGGGGAGAGGACTCGGCCTCGGGTCCTGTGGTGACGGACCTCGAGGCTGGGGAGGGGCTGACTTGGGGGCCTTGGGCCCCGCTGGACCCCGCCTGGGTTTTTCTTCCCACTGAGCGGGGCTTATTGTTACAAGGAGTGGGGTTTTCTTTCCCCCCCTCTGCGTACGAGTTGGATTTGGTGTCGGCCCCTCCCCGGGTACGGTTCCGTGTTCCCCCGGGTACGTCGGTTCCGTCCTTCCGGAGGTTTTCGGCTTATCGCATCCAACCTGGTGTGGTGCGAGCGGCCTTTGCAGCTTACCTCCTGCGTGACCCGGATTATGCCTCGGAAATGGATCCGTCCACGTTCAGGTTTGGGACTTCGTTCCCTTTCTGGCTCCGTTACGAGGTTCCGGAGTCGTCCTGGCTAGCAGACTGCCCCTTGTTTGGTCTGGATTCCTGGCATTCCTTCTGTCGTTCCCGCACGCTGGAGTGGCGGGAAGCTTCCACGGTGCTTCAGGTTTTCCTGGGGGGTGAACTTGAGTACCTGAATGAGTGCTTGTTTGCCCCTGCCCTTCCCCGCGATGTGGGCGTTATTCAGCTCCATGTGCAGGTTCCCTCCCTTTCGGCGGCGCTCGTGGCGGAGGACTTGCGCGCTCGGGGCCTTTTGTGTTCGGCCTTGCGGTTCTTTTCCCTCCTGGAGCTGTCTTCGGATTGGCTCGTGGAGGATGTGGGGACGCTTGGGTCCGTCCCGGGGTCCGGCACCTTGTCCTCGGCTGCGCGTTCGTCGGCTGCCTTGTTGAAGCTGTTCACGCCGATTTTGCGGGATGCGGTTTCCCTGTTCTATGCTTCCCGTCTCGCGTGTCGGCAGGCGGTGCTGGGTTCCTCCGTGGAATCTGCTTGGGCTCTGGCTCTTAGGCGTTCTTCACCTTTTTGTCCTCTCCTGTTTGGGGAGTCGGCCGTGGCGCAGTTTATTCAGGCTGCGTCGGCGGCTTGTCGTCCGATGTCGGACTTGTTGGTTTTCCGGGGGTCCCGGGGTGGGTCTTCCCGGAAAGGTCGTGCCAGGGCTCGGGGTTCCTCTCGTCGTGGTAGGCCTCTGGTGTCAGGTTTGGGGTTGGCTCCTCCTGCGGACCCTCCCTCGTCTGGTCGGCGCGGTGTTCGCGCTGTGCGGGGTTCTGGGTCTCGTAAGGGTCGCCGGCCCTTTCGCGGTTTGCCCCTTTGACGGGGCGATGGGGGGGCGGCTTGCGCTGTTCGCCCGCGCCTGGTCCCACGATTCGTGGGCCTTTCGGGTCGTGTCTCGCGGCCTGCGGTGGCGTTGGGTGGCCCCTCCCCCCTTTGGGGGGTCGGGGCTGGCGGGGCAGGCTTCTTCCCCTGCGCTCTGTCGAGTCGTCTTGGAGTGGGTACGCTTGGGCGTCGTCGAAACGACGTCGTCCCTCAGATGGGTTTCCCGTCTGTTTCCGGTTCCGAAACGGGACTGCGCGGACCTGCGGTTCATTCTGGACTTGTCCCGTCTGAACCCCTGGGTTCATTGCCCCTCCTTTCGGATGACTACGCTGTCTCAGGTTCGGCTCCTCTTGGAGCCGGGTGCTTGGATGGTGTCCCTGGACCTCCGGGACGCTTATTGGCATGTCCCGATTCATCCGCGGTTCAGGGACTGGCTCGGTTTTGTAGTGGGGCGTCTGAGTTACCGCTTTCGTTGTCTCCCGTTCGGGTTGAACCTGGCACCTCGCGTGTTCACACGCCTTACACGGGTTGTGGTGGCTCGTTTGCGTCTCCTAGGTGTTCGGGTGTTGGCCTACCTCGACGACTGGCTGGTTTGGGCTCCCAGCCAGTCAGCTTGCTTGCTAGCCAGGGATTTGGTTCTTTCCCAGCTCGCCGGGTTCGGGTTCTTGGTGAACTGGAGGAAGTCCCATCTGGTTCCCTCTCAGGTTCGGACTTGGCTGGGTCTCGTGTGGGACTCTCGAACCGCCTCCTTGTCTCTCCCTCCGGAGTCTCTCCTGCGGCTGCGGTCCCGCCTTCGTCTGTTTCTGGAGGGCCCTCGGGTCACCCGGCGGTTGCTCGAGGGGCTGTGCGGGAGCCTGAACTTCGCGATGGTGGTCTACCCGCCGGGTCGGGTTTGGCTTCGACGGCTGTTCTGGTTCCTTCGGGGTTCCCCCTTCCGCCTCTCTCGCGATCGCAGAGTTCGACCCCCGGGGGACTTGCGTCGGTTGCTGCGTCACCGGCTTCCTCTTCGGGTTTTTCGGGGTTCAGTGCCTTGGCGCCTACCCGAGCCCTCGCTCGATGTGTACACGGATGCGTCGTCTCTCGGCTGGGGTTTTGTGACCAGTGCTCACCAGGCCGGCCAGGGGCGTTGGGATCCGTCCTTCCGTCGAGCTCACAGTACGGTGCGGGAGTTCGCGGCAGTGTGGTTTGCTCTGGGGAGGATTCGGGTGGCCCGCGGATCGACGATTCGGCTCCATTCGGACTGCTCTCCGGTGGTTCATTGCCTGAACCGCGGGGGTTCGATGCGGTCCTTGTCTCTTTGGGGTTGGTCGCTTCGGGTGACTCGTCTGCTGAGTTCTCGGGGTTTGGCTCTCCTGGCGGTTCACGTACGGGGCGTGTCCAACGTCTTGGCCGACGCCCTGTCTCGCTTCGTTCCCCTCTCCACGGAGTGGACGGTCGACGACGAGTCCTTCCGTTGGCTTTGCCAGACGTTCGGGCGCCCCGAGGTGGACCTCTTCGCGTCGGCGTGGTCGCGGCGTCTTCCCGTTTATGCGGCGCCCTTCCCCGATTGCGAGGCCGTCGGGGTCGATGCCTTTCGGCTCGACTGGTCGAGGTGGGGGTTCCTGTACCTCTTTCCCCCGGTTCGGCTGTTGCTCCAGGTCCTGACTCGCTTAGAGACTTACCAGGGGAGAGTTGTCCTTCTGGCCCCTTGGTGGCCGGCCCAGCCTTGGTTTCAGGCGCTGGTTGCTCGGTGTCCGAACCCGAGGGTTTTCCCGCGGCTCCGCCTCTTTCAGCAGATCGGGCCGGTACGTCACGTAGCTGGTTCGATCTTCTCCTCGAGTCTTCGCGTATGGTTTTTTTGACTCGAGTCTATCATCATCTCTATGGTGATCAGGTGGCCTCCTTGTTGGTGTCCCACCTGAGGGCTTCTTCTCGGCGGCAGTATGAAGTTTCCTGGCGGTCCTTCCGTTTCTTTTTGCGTCTTCGTCGTGTTAGCTCCTTGTCTGTTCGGGTGGTCTTGTCCTTCCTCTCGTGGTTGTTTCAGGACCGTCATCTTATGCCTAACACTGTCGCTTCGTATCGTGCGGCGCTGGCGGAGCCGCTTCAGCTTGCTTTCGGTATCGATGTTACGTCTGCGCCGTTTCGCAAGCTGTCTCGTGCATTGTTTCACCTCCGGCCTGCTCATGCGTCGCCTGAGCCGTCCTGGTCTTTGGACAGAGTGCTCGCTTTCCTTTCATCTCCTCGTTTCGTTGTGGCCCCTTCGGTCCAGGATTGTTTTTCCAAGGCACTTTTCTTGTTGGCTTTGGCCTCTGGGGGTCGGGTAGGGGAGCTTCATGCTCTCCTCCGGCGCAGGGGTTTCTGCTCTTTTGGTCGTGGTGATAGTTTTGTTCGTTTGCAGCCGTCTCCTTCTTTTCTGGCGAAGAATGAGACTGCTGCGTTCCGGAGGGGTCCATGGGTGGTTGATGCTTGGTTGGTCAGGCCGGGGGTGCATCATGTTTTGTGTCCGGTTGCGGCGCTTCGCCGTTATTTGCGCGCCACAGCTTCTGTGTCCGGGGACGCGCTGTGGGTTGATCCGGTTTCCCTTCTTCCCTGTTCGCGGGTTCGGGTCTCTCAGGTCGTCCGCAGGGTTATTAGGTCTAGCCAGCCTGCGGTCTATCCCCGTGCCCATGACGTTCGTAAGTTCGCGGCTCTTGCTGCCGTCTTTGGGAATATGTCTTGGTCTGATATTCGGGCGCGGGGATTTTGGCGGTCGAACAGGGTCCTGGCTGCTCGTTACCTTGTGAATGTCCCTGGCCCTCGTCGGGCCTGTGTTGCTTTGGGTCGGCGGTTGCAGCCAGTTGTCTCGGCTTCGAGTTGAGGGGTGAGCGACGACCGCCTCCCGGGTAAGTCCCTCTTTTTCTGTCTGTGGGTAGTTAGCTCCGGGGAGCCGACGGGGCTCCCCCCAGAAAACCAGCGTTGAATGTAATGAAACGCCATTTTCTGGGTGAGTCCCGGAGGCTCCCCGGCATCCCTCCCTCCCTCCGGTCGGCGGTTTTTCGCGTTTTTGACATCCAGCCTCAAGAACTGAGGTGTGGGTAGCCGGCGCGGGGGGTCTGGGGCTCCCCCTTCCCCCTCCCGGGGAGGGGGGAGCTGCGCAGACAGCGGCGCGGCAGTGTGTGACGTCACACTAATTTGCTTGTTTTCGGTTGGGGAGTTCTATCCACTAGTTCGGTATTAGGTAGCAATTTTAACCAGAATAGGGGTTTGTTTTGGGGCGCTTACCTTTCTGGGTGCCTGTTCCGGTCGATGGCAGACATAGAATGCTTCCAACTACACGGGGGCTTCTATAGGCCATTGCTCCCCTTGCCTCTCTGAGGGGGCCCGGTTCTGGCCGTGGTCCCCGGTAGGCCTAAGAACTCCATACACATGACTGATGCCAAAGTCTGACATTAGCATATCAGCCTGGGATAGCTCCGGGGAGCCTCCGGGACTCACCCAGAAAATGGCGTTTCATTACATTCAACGCTGGTTTTTTATACAAGATTAGCCAACAACTAACTATATTTCCCTGGATGTGATCCACACGTCATCTAACTCCCAGGTACCTAGGTGAGCAGAGGCATCATGCACAGGAACAAATAATGTGTCCAGATGTCTTGTCCTGCTTGGAAATTAAACCCATGACCAATTGGTTGCAAGTTTATTATGCTAAGCACTGTGCTGCAAATCATTTGGTGGAAATGTTCTGGGTTGCCAGATGTTTGACCAACCTGTCCTCTCAAGCATTTCATCACTAAACTGATATACTAAGTTACCTAAACCTAACCAAAGCAAGCACCCCACAACTGGAAAGCAGGACATCACATCAATTTTGAGAGATGCTACGGTTTTAGTGCATCAGTTTTTGACCCTAGGGAATTTATGCATCAAAATGTGATGTACTATTCAAGAGGATTGGTTGCATAGTGGCTTCAACACCACTTGAGGTTATTGGTATCATATATATCACATGGAACAAAAATACTTAAAAAAGTTTGGATAAAGTACAGTATTCATTAACATGTATTGTGTTGGCAGGCCTGACACTGACGGTGGGGTCGTTGGTTGGTATGCCTGTAATGCTCATCGCTGATGCAGTAGTGGAGAAGCTTCGCCGTCCCACCATTTTCATAATCTCCTTCTTCATCTATGCTATCAGGCACATCGGTTATTCATACATCAAGTGAGACATCAGACATCAGTATTCATAATGAATATTCATACATCAATATTCATACATCAGTATTCATAATCAATATTCATACATCAATATTCATACATCAGTATTCATACATCAGTATTCATACATCAATATTCATACATCAATATTCATACATCAGTATTCATACATCAGTATTCATACATCAATATTCATACATCAATATTCATAATCAATATTATGAATATTATTGTTCTATAAATTAAGTATCAATGCATGATGATATACAGGGTAACATATACAGAATATGATATGCAAATTAGATCACATACATCATATGTTCCATAGAGAACTAGGCGATGAATAACTATACAAACACATGGAAAGGTTCTTAAAGAGGACGATAATTGAGGAAAAGGAAAACAGAACTGTTAAAGGATAATTTATGAAAAGGAACTCATGCCTTTTCAGTTTAACAGATCTCTATGATAGGATGCCAAATGTAAAACAAGAAAGGTAATGATGAGTGGACTTCGTACTAGTATTGCCAGGAGGACTGGTGAAAAAAAAAAAAAAAGGGAGAAAGTAATGGTGAGAGACAATGTTTGGTTGGGGAGAAGTAACAATTAAGTGCTGTCCTCCAAGGATCAGTACAGTACTTGAAACCATTCTGTTCTAGACCTATGTGAGCAATCTGGCTAGATAGATCAATTCCTTTATGATGATGTTTGCAGGTGATGCAACACTTATGAAAAAAAATTGAATCAGAAGACTACAACAAGTAACACACTGCAGACGACATGATGTGACTAGTTGCTGGCTGGACAATTCCTGGAGTCAGAGACATGGAAAGACTTATTTTTGGGAGCTGTCAAAGTCAATGATGAAAAAAAGAACCAGTGGGTAGACAGTTTACAGAGTTAGAGAACATGACAGCAGCAGCAGCCATTATACCAAACTTACAATCATTGGTCATGGAAACAAGATAACCTACCAGTACATGCTATATTGGAAACAATAAGGATAGCCTGCACGAATATCAATAGTCACTGAGGATACAGTAACCACACATGTGAGGCCAATATTTTAAGATAAAGCATGATCTCTCATAACAATCGAGAACATAATGAGACCTTAAAAGACCCAGTGATTTGACACCAGCCCTGCAACCCCCAATCTTCCCTTTTTACCCCCCTCCCTCTTTCACCCTCTTCCCCCCCCCCCCCCCTTTGTACACACACACAAAAGAGGGCATTGATTCAAGCTAAGGAAGCAAAGCAAAAAAAGAAATATTGGATAGTTTTCTTTTGCAAACACAGTGCTAGACACTTGAAACAAGTTAAGTTAGAAGGTAGTGGATGCCAAAACCGTCAATAGTTTCAAAGTGTTATATGATAAAGAGTACTGGTAAGATTGACACCAAGTATAGCTCTCATCCTGCAACTACACTAGGGTAATTTCATACACACATACCTCTTGTCCTATAAATAAACTAAAGTAATTACACATATACACACATTTGCAATTTATTTACATAAGTGCATTATAGACCCAAGGTAAAAAAAAAATCACTATTATAATTCATAAATTGCAAGTTTGTTGACATTTCTCCAGTGACCCGTGGCTGGTGTTTCCCTTTGAGGTGCTTGAGGTGTTCACCTACCAGCTCATGTGGGTGGCAGCAATCACCTATTGTTCCATCCTTGCTCCCAAGGGTCTTCTGGCTACCATGACTGGTCTCACAGGGGCCATACACTTCTCTCTTGGTAAGTTTCAGAAGCTGGCTGTTTTTTCACTCTATTCAAAAACTAAATTTTCAAAATTATAATGAAATAAATGACACTATGATTGAAGACTAAGTGGGATATTTGCCTGGACCTCCCAGCTACCTAGGCTATATACCTTCTGAATACAATGCAAGGGGGTGCAACAGACACATGATAAAAGCTGGAGTTAACACCAATAAAGACTGGGCATTACAAACATAAACAAAGAGAAGGAAAGTCAGACCATTCTCAAATGGTAGTTTAAGGACAGTTGGGATTTCCTTGCCTGCCCCAAACTGCCATGCATTCTTTCCTTTTCTATTTTCCATTACAACTCATTTATGTGAGCCAGGCATCATTACTAGATAGTTACAGCCCTTCATTCAAAATTCACCATTGAAACACAAAACATCTATAACATTATTCAAGTTCACTCCTATTGGTTTGTCATCTTCAAGACTGCTTCACGAATGCAGGCACTTTTGAGTTCTCCTGTTTGAATTATTTTCATGAGCCTTGTGTCACCTGCAAACACTAACAAGTATGAATACATTCCCTTGGGTAGGTCTTTCACGTAGGTTAGGAACATCAGTGGGCAAGGTACTGAGCCTTGAGAGACCCCTGCCTGCTACAGTTCTTCAGCCTGACATCTATATGACTGTGATCCTATATTTCCTGTTACGTGCTTCTATACCTTTTTTTCCTTTCTCTAGTGCCCTCTACTCCCAATGAGAAGGTTATATTGATGTATTGTTGTATACATAATAATAAATAATAATTATGTAATAATGTATGTGCTTTAATTTTAAAGTCAATGTGATTAGACATGCTCAACACATTGCATTAAAACCTCAGGGAAGAAAAAATATAAAAAATGGCAAATCCATAGGGTAACTCTTCTGGAATTACCTAACTCCTACACTGCTTCAGTCGCTATTTGAGATTTTTTTCCTGTGCTCCAATAGCAATATGCAATTTTCACATTTGATTTATAACTATTTTTAAACATGTGCAACTCAATTTAGTACATTACTTTTAAATAGCTGTGTCATTTGAGAGGTAATGGGTAGAGATTAACAAGACAGTAATTAAAGAATATATTGATGGATATGCAACCCATTCTCTCAATTGGCAACTCCATAAAACATGCAACTATATTGCCTAACCAGAAAAACACGCTCGCACACACACACGCGCGCACGCATGCACACACACATCTCAGGCATCCCTGTGTACAGGAATCGTAGCAGACGTGTGGAAACAGGCTAACATAGTTCCAATCTACAAAAGTGGCAGCAGGGAAGACCCCCTCAATTATAGACCTGTATCATTGACAAGTGTAATAGTGAAAGTATTGGAAAAACTAATCAAAACTAAATTGGTAGAACACCTAGAGAGAAATGATATAGTATCAGACAGACAGTATGGTTTTCGATCTGGAAGATCCTGTGTATCGAATTTACTCAGTTTCTATGATCGAGCCACAGAGATATTACAGGAAAGAGATGGTTGGGTTGACTGCATCTATCTGGACCTAAAAAAGGCTTTCGACAGAGTTCCACATAAGAGGTTGTTCTGGAAACTGGAAAATATTGGAGGGGTGACAGGTAAGTTTCTATCATGGATGAAAAATTTTCTGACTGATAGAAAAATGAGGGCAGTAATCACAGGCAATGTATCGGAATGGAGAAATGTCACAAGTGGAGTACCACAGGGTTCAGTTCTTGCACCAGTGATGTTTATTGTGTACATAAATGATCTACCAGTTGGTATACAGAATTATATGAACATGTTTGCTGATGATGCTAAGATAATAGGAAGGATAAGAAATTTAGATGATTGTCATGCCCTTCAAGAAGACCTGGACAAAATAAGTAGATGGAGCACCACTTGGCAAATGGAATTTAATGTTAATAAATGTCATGTTATGGAATGTGGAATAGGAGAACATAGACCCCACACAACCTATATATTATGTGAGAAATCTTTAACAAATTTTGATAAAGAAAGAGATCTAGGGGTGGTTCTAAATAGAAAACTATCACCTGAGGACCACATAAAGAATATTGTGCAAGGAGCCTATGCTATGCTTTCTAACTTCAGAATTGCATTTAAATACATGGATGGCAATATACTAAAGAAATTGTTCATGACTTTTGTTAAGCCAAAGCTAGAATATGCAGCTGTTGTGTGGTGCCCATATCTTAAGAAGCACATCAACAAATTGGAAAAGGTGCAAAGACATGCTACTAAGTGGCTCCCAGAACTGAAGGGTAAGAGCTACGAGGAGAGGTTAGAAGCATTAAACATGCCAAAACTAGAAGACAGAAGAAAAAGAGGTGATATGATCACTACATACAAAATAGTAACAGGAATTGATAAAATCGACAGGGAAGATTTCCTGAGACCTGGCACTTCAAGAACAAGAGGTCATAGATTTAAACTAGCTAAACACAGATGCCGAAGAAATATAAGAAAATTCACCTTCGCAAATAGAGTGGTAGACGGTTGGAACAAGTTAAGTGAGAGGGTGGTGGAGGCCAAGACCGTCGGTAGTTTCAAAGCGTTATATGACAAAGAGTGCTGGGAAGACGGGACACCACGAGCGTAGCTCTCATCCTGTAACTACACTTAGGTAATTACACACCCAAGCAACCAACCTAACCTATCGAGGGCGATGCATAGAAAATGTCAGTATTACGGTGCTTCAAATTTTCTAAACTGCCACATTATTAACAGCATTAGATTCCATTTAAAATGCAAGGTATTAGGCCAGAAGACAGGTTAGATTATGAAGGATGATTTAGAATTATAGTGTTGCAGGTCGTGGCCTGGGGTCCCTGGTGGGAGGACACCTGATTAACAATCTGGGCCTTCCTGCAGCCTTCAGGGCCTATGGTGGTATAGCTGCTGGCTCTGGAATTCTTTATGTCCTCATTCACTTCTGCTACATCAAGAAAAAGCTATCAGCAAGAGGTAAAGTGACTGATTTGACGAAATGTAATTTCTTGTGAAAAATACTTACATAATTGATCATAAAAAAAAAGTTTGCTGAAATTTAACAACAAATTAAACCTGCAATAATAAACAAATCTGAAAATAAATTACTTTTTAAATTTAAAATGTTAATATTTATGGATATTTATTTCTGGAGTTGTGGATTCATTTATTTCATCTATAGATTTATGTATTTATGTCTATCTGTCTGGCAACAGATAGACAGAACATTATAATTATTTAGGATAAAAACCCACAATTGTGTTTTGTGAATTTTTGTAAGGAATTTACACCACGTCTTTTGCACTCTCCTTAGTGCTTTATCAAGGTCTTGAGTGTGTGTGATTAGGACGAGACTTACATCTCAACGTCTATTAGACTGTGACTAGACATTGAGATGTAAGTCTGGTCCTAATCACACACTCAGACCTTGATAAGCATTCAGGAGAGTACGAAAGACTTGGTGTAAATTCCTTCCATAAATTAAACAAATACACAAGTGTGGGTTTTTATCCTATGTTATTATGTCTGTGAGAAGAAATTACCATTACTAATTATAATTATAATATTCTGATAGACAGAGCAGATATAATGTTTGATCGACAGATAGTTAACAGATAGACAGAATAATAATAATAATATTATGTGGTGTGATGTATTGAGAAGCTCAATACAGTATTCTGCCTTGGAATGATTTAGCCAAGAGTAATGCACACCAGAGAATAGATCAGTGGAGAAGTATATGGTAGAGAGTACAAGGATGAGGAATAGATGGCACTAAAGATAACCAGAAATGGTAAACAAGCTCCTGAAAGAAATATTTTTAAAGTGTTGTTTGATAAATAGATGCATACTGCATTCTATAGAGATACTCTGTGGGAACACAAGAAAGCAAATTATGATAAATATTTCAGCTGATGAAGGAATGATGCTTGAATACTAAAGGATGATACATCACTTTAATGGTGTGGAAAAATCTCTATCTCCAAAGGGATACATTTTATAAATCACAAGGAAAATATGCTCCATCAGCAGATATTGTATATAGAAATAATCTGCAGTATACTAATAATATTTTCAGAAGAGGAAAGGCAACGAGAGGCAGGAGAGTGTCTCCCTATGATGGATAACGATGCTGCACATGTCCTCGTGAACCAAGTTACAGCAGAGTCTTCTCTGTGACGAGAGTTTAGTACATAAGTTTCAATTCTGAGCATTATTATATGGATATTTGTTCCATATACTGTATCAAAATTAGTGATGTAGTTAAATATAGCATTTATGCAGTGTTAACACACTGCATACCTCAATGAAAAATAAATAAAAAGTATCTATCACACTTGCTTTCCATATTGGCTTACATAATACCTTTAGCTGAAGTATAGCTGAAATGAGAAATATATTTATACTTATTTATATATATATTCAATGAAGATTCTGTAGTTCAGAATTTCTGCAAATGCATTCACCATGGGGATACATTTAAATTATATGTACTTTAAAACCTATTAACTTTTGTGATAAATTCATCTCAAGACACCTACGAGCTTGCTGAAGATAGCATATACCTAAAATTCTCATCCCTTCAGATAGGATTCTATTTCTATTCATAAAGCCCTCTTTTTTCAGCGTTATAACCATGTTATTGTCATAAAGAATGAAGAACTGTTTGAGTGCAAGGAATGGAACACATGTGATAGACACATACACTGTGTGACGGCCACAGTGTAATATACCAGCAATACAAAAATGCGAGAAATGACTACACGGCAGTGAAGAGAGAGGCAGAAAGAAATTTTGGGAAAGGGATAGCAGACAAATGTAAAACAGAACCAGGCCTATTCTATAAATTCATCAACAACAAATTGCAGTTAAAGGATATATTCAGAGGTTGAAAATGGGAAACAGATTCACAGAAAATGAAAAATTATGTGTGAAACATTAAATGAATAGTTTCAAAGTGTGTTTGTACAAAATGAAATCCTCTGAGAACCAGACACAATAAGAATGCAAGAGAACAACATAAAGCACATAGAGGTCTCTAGAGATGAAGTGGAAAAAATGCTCAAGGAGCTAAGTAAGAACAAAGCAGTTGGCCTAGATGGAGTTTCACCATGGGTTCTGAATGTGCACCTGAGCTCAGCATTTCACTTCAACTGATTTTTCAGGCATCCCTGTGTACAGGAATCCTAGCAAATGTGTAGAAAAAAATTAACATAGTTCCAATCTACAAAAGTGGCAGCAGGGAAGACTCCCTCAATTATAGATCTGTATCATTGACAAGTGATGACACATACACTGTCAAAATATGACAAGTCAAAATATTGGAAAAATAATTAAAATTAAATTGGTAAAACACCTGGAGGAAAACAACATAATAACAGACAGTATGGTTTTCGATCTGGAAGATCCTGCGTAACGAATTTACTCAGTTTCTATGATCGAGCCACAGAGATTTTACAGGAGATGGTTGGGTTGACTGCATCTATCTGGACCTAAAATAGGCTTGTGACAGAGTTCCACATAAGAGGTTGCTCTGGAAACTGGAACATATTGGAGAAGTGACAGGTAGGCTTTTAATTGGATGATGAATGAAAAATTTTCTGACAGAAAAATGAGGGCAGTAATCAGAGGCAATGTATCAGACTGGAGAAATGTCATGAGTGGAGTACCACAGGGTTTAGTTCTTGCACCGGTAATGTTCATTTTCTACATAAACGATCTACCAGATGGAATACAGAATTATATGAACATGTTTGCTGATACAGTGTAATACTAAGATAATAGGGAAGATGAGAAACTTAGATGATTGTCATGCCCATCAAGAAGATCTGGACAAACTAAGTGTATGGGAGCACCACTTGGTAAATGGAATTTGATGTGAATAAATGCCATGTTATGGAATGTGGAACAGGAGAACATAGACTTCCACACAACCTATAAATTATGTGAGAAATCTTTAAAGAATTCTGATAAAGAAAGAGGTCTAGGGGTGGTTCTAGATATATAACTGTCACCTGAGGACAACATAAAGAGCATCGTGCATGGAGCCTATGCTACACTTTCTAAACTTCAGAATTGCTTTTAAATACATGTATGGCAAAATACTAAAGAAATTGTTCACGACTTTTGTTAGACCAAAGCCGAAATATGCAGCAGTTGTATGGTGCCCTATATCTTGAGAAGCATCAACAAACTGGAAAAGGTGCAAAGAAATGCGTCTAAAATGGCTTCGAGAACTGAAGGACAGGAACTATGAGGAAAGGTTAGAGGCATTAAATATGCCAAAACTAGAAGATAGAGGAGAGGCGATATGATCACTATGTACAAAATAGAAACAGGAATAAATAAAATTGATTGTGAAGAATTCCTGAGACCTGGAACTTTAAGAACAAGAGGTCATAAATTTAAACTAACTAAACAAAGCTGCCTAAGAAATATGAGAAAATTCACTTTCGCAAACAGTGTGGTAGACGGCTGGAACAAGTTAGGTGAGAAGGTGGTAGAGGCCAAAACCGTCAGTAATTTCAAAGCGTTATATGACAGAGGAAGACGGGACACCATGAGCGTAGCTCTTATCCTGTAGTTACACTTAGGTAATTATAGTATACACATACCAAGTTTACCAGTATGAATTCTATGCCCAAAATGCTGTGTATAATTAGTGGCTTTATAATATTTACAAATTCTATACCTATCAAGTAACCACTAATCTGATCCTCTATTTTTTTTATAAATAAAATATTATTATATAAATTTGTGTAGTATTTGTGTCATCATGAATTAAAAGCCAAGCTAAAATGAATATTTGAGATTTTCAGGAGGACTGACTATCTGATAATGTCATACTTAGTCATATGACTGAATATGTGACATATTCCGTAATAAAGTGCCGTACAACAATAAGGATTTAAGAATTTCAATAGAGGCTATATTTTAACATTTATTAAAAAATATAAAAATATAATTTACCCTGAAATATATACAGTATATATATTAAAATGCCATTCAATATTATTTGTATCTCTTAAACTAGAAATAATAAAATAGTGGTACTAAAACATGGAATAGCTTTTTTGTGAAAGCAATTTAGACATTTAAATTTTTATTTAAATGCCACGTTTTATATCATTAATTTATCATCAAGAAAGCTATGGGAAGAACAGCTGTGAGGAGCCATTCCATCCTAATTAAAACTCATTTGTAAAATACTGTTAATTTCTCACTGCAATAAATAAATATAAAAGTAAAGCAGTTGCCACTTGCTTGCACTGGGAAGTGCAAAAAAAGAATGAGGGCTGCCTTTAGCCAGCATACTCTAGTAAGAATGTAGAGGTGAAGAAACAAAATGACAGGCAGATAAAGCTATTGGAGTTTCAGCAACTTTATTTTCTGTATTTGGGGAAGGAAGCAGGTAATGTAAAGTTTTATTAAGCATGACATATGAGTAGTGTATATGCTCTCTTGAAAATCCAGATCATTTTGTTTGTGATGAGGGTTTGTGTTACATTTGGATTTCCTAAAAAGTCTTGTTTTTTATCACAAAATGTTCCCAATTTTTCCAATAGAAAATAATGTTGTTATAAACATTTTAGCATATTCAGACAAATAATATAGTATAACCAATGATTCTGTATGCATATACAGTATATAAGAATGTACTGAAAAATACAAAACATTCATTTATTCACTTACCTTCATGTAGCACAAGCCATCTTAATAACTCAGAGGCAGTAAAATGCAGTTATTATACTGTCATGCAGACGATAAGCCACAATAATGTGGCTGAAGAAATGACGACCAAACCACAACTCAGAAGATGGAGAAGCGACAACGTTTCGGTCCGTCTTGGACCCTTATCAAATCCAGGATGGACCGAAACGTCGTCGCATCTTCTGAGTTGTAGTTTGGCCCTCATTATACTCTGTCATGCCAGTTCTTAAACTTCTGCTGTCATACTGAACTGGCCATGAAGTTCTCACTGTCCAAGGCTGGTGCCAACAGCCATACCTAGACTATAATGCTGCATGAATCATTGGTAAACTGCATCATTCTTAAAAGGTTTCAATACTTTTGTCATTCTTCCTACCTCTGCTTCCCACTTTATTCACAAACTTTATGGATCTGCTTCCTTTCCTTTCCTTTTTTTATCAGAAATAGCAATAATACTAATATCATACTCCTCTGAAAGCCTCTTGCATCCCCAGCTATGATCACATTTCTCTATTAATTCAGTTTTCTTTTACATGGTAAGAAAATTCCTCTTACCTATGCCTGATTTACCATAACTACTATTGCTGGACAACATGGTTTCAACTCTCAAATACTGTACTGTACTGTACTGTAATGTAAATACTGTAATCCAAAGAAAACCTAGTGAAATTGTTCAAGTAACGAAAGGTCTGAGCTCACTTGCATAAGGAAAACACATGGCCAATATGTGCACCCTCATAGTAGCTCTTGCTGCCTTATATAAAGCAAGATTGTGTTTTGTTTTTTTCTAATTCATACATGTTCAGTAAAAATTAGTAAACATAAAACTTCTAAAATATTATTCAAAATAATGCATTTATATTTATCACCCTCCATAATCTGCATTTTTCACCGAGATATCCAAATTTTGGGTGGGAAATCTGGTGGGTGGGTTTATTAATGATTAATTTTGTCAAATGAAGCTTTATATGTGTATGTACTTTAGGCTTGTATCAAGGTCCCCAAGGTTGAATTACTGACCCTTCCCATAGATGCAGTCTCACAACAGTTGGCAATTTATTGCTAGGTGAATGGAAATGTGCCCATCCATTTGTGTCCCGTCCTAGATCCCGAATTGTGAGTCGGCCATGAAGCCAACTATACCGTAAGACCATGAGGTTTAGGAGGATATGTTATAGGAGGTCAAGATTTTCAAGAGAGCACAGTACTGTACTATTATAACACATTTACTGTACTGGGATTTGTAATAATACCAATATGAAAAATAAAAAGATTAAACATTTTAATCAGAAAGATTTTTAAGTGGCAAGGACTCACAGTACTGTATTGTGAATTTTTTTTGACTAAGAAAAAATATATAAAAATGTAACATTCTCCATTTATAACAGCTAGTCTAATGAGAGATGTCTTGAACCATCTCGATAGTCAGGCTGACTATAATTAATGGCATATGGATAAATGGAATAACAGCTCAAGCTAATCAATATGGAAGAACAGTATATGCTGATATATTGTCAGGCTCTAACTACAAATGTATGTCCAGTCCTCATTATTCTATTGTCTTGTCGGGGGGGGGGGGGAGAAGTAGCTATGTGTTAGTATGGGGTTTCTTCATCTTCAACTGGGAATCAAAAAAACACACCGAGAACTGGTCACGTCCCATCAGAGCTAATGAAGAGCCTGAAGGGTGCCACCTATAAAGAGAAGAGATAAGTTAATGCTACACTTAAAAACAAAAACAAAAAATAAATCTTGTACTGTAGTGCCTATTGTTATACGCAGTTACAGTAATTATATATCTCCACTATAGGAGAAAATTTCTTTCAAACAAGATCTTATTATGTACCCTTAAAATATTAACCCATCAAAATATTTTTAACAAGAGTAATAATATAACTAATAATAATAAATTTCATGACACATCTAATACAATATAATATATAGGTGTCAGGATACATAAATTTTATGTGCTGCCCATAGGGAACTATCAGGAGAAAGTGCCAAGCCATTATGATTATTAATGCCGTATATACAAGCGTTCTTAGTCTTGTACAGTCACTAGCACGCATAGTATTTCGGGCAAGTCGTTAATTCTATGTTCCCTGGAATACAACCCACCAAATCGTTTAACAACCAGGTACCCATTTTACCGTTAGGTAAACAGAGGCTACAGTTAAGGATTGACACCCAGTAAAACCTCTCCGGCCAGGATACGAATCCAGGGCAAAGCGCTCGCAAAACACCAGGTGAGTGTCTTACCACTACACCACGGGGACTGCAAGCACTTGGAAGGGATCAGGATAAGGATTTAGGATGGGACGGGGAAAGGATTGATGCCCAACCACTTGGATGGTTGGGGAATGAATGCTGACCTGCATGAGGCAAGACTCTATCATCCAGCCCAAGTGGTTGGGCATGCACTGCCAATAGTGTACCAAACATGTCAGAGCTCTGTAATTTTATCCCTATATACTGTAATAAACTATTTTTATTATAGCTGCTAACTAATCACTCCTGAAAGCCTTATTATTAGGAATGATGATTTTACAAGCAGAAAGATGCTTTTATATAGTACAGTATTAAGAAATACATCAAACACAAGCTGAAAGAAAATTCTTCACAAAGTAAAACATCTATGCTACATATCCTCCCAATCAGGTGAGGTGGTCAAAGAATTTAAAGCATACAGGAAAAAAATACTGTACTAAAAAAAACTAAGAGCTTAAATATAATGTCTGTACATAAAAAATTTACCTAAGGGATATAATCTGCAGTGTAGGTGCTCCTGGAATGGCAACAGTTAGGCAGCCAAATGGAGACCAGAAGTAAACATGGTTGCTCCCTGTACAAATGGCAAGACGAGGTTGTTGTGGGTCCCAGGCAAATTCTGTAAAAAAAAAAAAAAAAAATCCCTCTGGAGTTAGAAGAAATTTTTAAAACATCAGGATTGCCATTTTCCAAAGAATGTTTGTTTATTTCTAAATTTACATTATACAGTGGCATCTCGATAAACGAGTTTAATCCATTCCGGCACCGAGCTCGTCATGTGGAAAACTTGTCTTGCGAAACAACAACAAAACTGTCGTAAAAGGTGTCCGAGAACCAGAAGAAACATTCGTTAATCGAGGAAAAGCTCGTTAGTAGAGATAAACGTTCTGCGAGTGGCTTACTCGTTACTCGAAATACTCGTAGATACAGCCGCTCGTTACCACTATATGAATACAGTGTTGTATTGAACTTAAACTCTAATTCCAACATTGCAATATGAATTATCTAAAACCTTTTACTCACGTTCTGATGATGCAATATGTGCCATTGACTCCTAAATTATTAGTATACACAATATTTGAGTAATATTATGGCACTGTTTTAATCATGCACCTTGTGAGTGGGTGATGCTTACTGGAACACTGAAGGACTCAATGCAAGTATGATTGTTTGCACGTTCTCATGCATTTGTGGTGATTTCTTTGGAAACAGTGATATTTTGTGCTGAAACTCAGTTTCCTTTACCTTTGAGTCACTAGATGATGTTTTCCCCCTTTTAGTTCTTTACATACTAACTGTTTCCTGGCACCACAGCCAACTTTCTTAGTTTTTAAAGTCAGGGGATCAGTTAGTCTGCCCCACACATCACCATGTGCCCATCACCTCCAGAGGTATGTAGAAATAATCTACCAGTATGTGTGTGAATTTTGGGCATGATGGAGGTCTAATAAGGTAATGTACCCACTGGCATTTTTATCAGCCTTAATTTGTCCTTAGCAGCTCTGCATAACTCTTGGACGATTATCTCCAGTCTGACATTCTCACCCTCACTCCAGGTCTACTTCAGGCTACTATTTCCTTGGGTAAGATTTCCAGATTTTCATAATTAGTGTTTTTTGTAGTTTATTTTCTTTTAAGCACTAAATATTTGTATATGCATCATTGGGAGTGGGTTTTGGAAGCTTCTGGTATAGGTACCCAGAAATAAAACATCAAGAGTAATGAAAAGCCCCTTTCTGGGCAGTACCTCAGTAGTTCCCCATAAATGTTCTTTGTTTCTTATCTTGCATACAGTATTTGGGGCACTCGACTCAACTGAGGTGGCCTCCTTCCCTGATATCCCTGTTGGTTGGGAAGCCACCTGGTGGAGGCCAGAGCAGCCAGGTGACATGTTCTAAGTGTTTCAGAAAGTTGCTTTGTAGCACATTGTTATCAAACAACTTTTGGCTGTGTGATTTACTGTGATCTCCACAACCTCTATGGCCTTGTTCTTGGTAGGTAAGAGAAGTGAGTCAATGCCAAACATGACCAAAGTGTTCTAGGAATGTTAGTGCACTATTAGGTCACTGCTCAGAAGGAGGCATATTATTACACAACATTGCACTTTTAAACAGTGGCACAATCATAGGCTTTTTTCTAATTCTCTTGTATAGTACCATACCACTATTCCTTGCCTTATGGTAAATTCTCCAGTCACTCCATTCCTTTTACTACACTATACTGTATTTAATAATTTCTATATACAGTATACTGTACCTCAAAATCTACAGCTTTCACACATTTCAATTTCTTCACTGATGTATTCACCTCGTCTCTAGATATATCACTTTGTAATATCTGATAGAGATCACCACATTAGAACTTCTTTCATCACTAACACCCATTGGACTTTCAAAATATTCTCTCCACCTACTTTTAATCTTCTCTTTACTATTTAACATTCTCCAACATATGTTTTTAAAATTTCCATTGATATATCCACCATTTTATCTACTGCATTTACTAACTTTTTCCTATAAGATTTTCCTGTTTTCTAAATAATTAGTTGTAACTTTTCTGTATCCTTACTATAAAATGTAAAAACATTCATATTCTACCATCTGCTGACTTGCTCATTCCTGGTTCACCTTGGATGGTAGTGCATGTGCAGACTGTGTGTTATGTGTTAGCTTGCTGCCAAGAATTGTCAAGTATATTGTTTTTCAATAGTTGTAGATTCTGTACTTTATTTATTTATACATTATTTTAGGTATTTACTTTACCCGAAAAATAACTAAAAATATTTATAACTAGCAGTACCTGTACCCAGCCATATTGCTGTGGCTGGGTACAGCAACCTTCCCTGTCCCCCAGTCCTTCCCACCATTCCCCCCTCACCCGTCTCCTCGGCCTCCTAACCATTCCCCACTCCACCGTCCCCTCATCTTCCCCACCATCCCCCTTTTCCTTTCCACCATGCCCCACTCCCCTGTCCCTTTGTCCTCCCCCACCATTCTCCATTCCCCCATCCCCTTGTCCCCACCATCCCAAACTCCCCCGTCCCCTCGTCCTTCCCCACCATCTCTCACTTCCGTTATCTTGAGGTTATCTCGAGATGATTTCAGGGCTTTAGTGTCCCCGCGGCTCGGTTCTCGACCAGGCCTCCACCCCCAGGAAGCAGCCCGTGACAGCTGACTAACTCCCAGGTACTTATTTAATGCTAGGTAACAGGGGCATCAGGGTGAAAGAAACTCTGCCCATTGTTTTCTCGCTGGCGCCCGGGATCGAACCCAGGACCACACGTCCAGTGTTCTGTCCACAGCCACCATCCCCTCGTCATCCCCACCATTCTCCACTCCCTCATCTGATGCCTTCCCAAACGGTCTGATGTTCCCATCAGAAAATTGGGAACATCGAGTGATTTATGTTCCTATCACTGAAATACAAGAAAAAGTTAAAAGATGAAATGAAAATATGACAAAATAAAAAAATAAACTATACTCATGAAATGAACGGTATGGTAAACAACACAGCTCAATTTCAATGCAATTCACACAAAATAATTAAATCAAAATGAAAATAAATCAAAATCTATGAAAATTCAATTTATCAATGCAATCAAAAACATTACAATGGAATTGTAACATATTTAGTATAGTATATGTGTTGCTCTTACATGCAACAGATGGTGGTGTTTTTCAAGAAAAGCATAGTTTTACCTCTCACAGGTGTGGCATCTATACTTATACTTACGAAATGAACGGTATGGTAAACAACACAGCTCAATTCCAACACAATGTCATACAAAATATTTTGATAAAAAATAAAATAAAATTGAAATCTATGAAAATAAAATTTATCAATGCAATCGGAATCATTGAAATGGAATTCGTGACATATTTAGTATAGCGTGCATGTTGCTATTATGTGCAACAGATGGTGCTGTTTTTCAAAAACGCATGTTTTTACCCATCACAGGGGTGGCATCTATATACAGTAGTATGCATATAAAACGACGCACCTATTCAAATGCAACGTTGTGTCAAAATTTCAAAGCAATCGGTGAAGAACTTTCGGAGATTACAGCGTGTGTTACTCTTACGTCCAACAGAAGGCGCTGTTTTTAAAAAAAAAGCATGTTTTTTCTTATTACAGGTGAGGCATGTATATAGTAGATATATAAAAAGACGCACCTATTCGAATGCAATGTTGTCAAAATTTCAAAGCGATCGGTAAAGAGGTTTCGAAGATTTCCCTCACATGAAAAACATACGAAAAACACAGTTTTTTAGAAAAAGCATTTCTTTTTACCGTCACAGACATGACACCTATATAGTATGTACATAACCTGCTCGAATGCGAATGGAACGTTGTGTGAACATTTCAAAGCAATCGGTGAAGAACTTTTAGAGATTAGCGGTCATGCACAAACAAACATTTGCATTTTGTATTTATATAGATAATGAGATAAGAAAATGATCAAAATATAGCATATTTTCACAAACCTTTTACAGGACTGACATGTACAAGTATAGCCTTGAGGGTCAGTTTTGGTATACTCCATATCCAAATGGCAGCTGGCATGTTATCGTTGCGCGTTGCTAGGTAGCGGTTATCTTTGCTGAAGAGAAGACTTCCAATGCCAATGCGTGGAATAGCCTGTTTTCCTGGTTCTGCAGTGATGGAAGCAAGACTGACGGGTCTGGTTTCCTCTTCCTGATCTGTGGTTGGAGTGAAAAATATTGTGCTGTTCATCGTCATCATTATTATTGAAAAAATCTCCATAAATATTATTATTATTATCCTGCTTCCCATGTTAATGGAGATGGGAGGCATCAACCTGGAGGAAATATGAGAACAATATAAAGAATGTTAAAGATAAAGTACTACAAAATAACACCCATCTGTTTACTACATAACATCACAGTCTCAGCACCATAATATTCTAGCAAACACTCCACAATACTGTACTGCCCTACTGATTTACACAGCTAGGCTCTAGTTGTCTTGTTAAAACTGTATTCAAGTCACCCATTATGTACAAAATCAGTCTCACTCCTTAATCCATAGTACAGTAATATATTTTCAAGTGCATAATAAAAAATAACAGCATCATAGCTTCCAATGCAATTTTCTCAAAGGAAAGGAGGTGGTTGATAGCTTTTGTTGGCCAATTCTGTACAGGAAAGCACAAGCATTTAAAAAGTGCACAAGTCCTCTACCAAGTAGTGCGATGCTAAGGTACACAACAAAGCCCCATTGAAAACAACCAAGGAAGTGGTATAACTCGAGATAAGCCAAATCATATTGAAGGCAATGTCAAACAACTTTGGAAAAGGTATCTCTTTAGTTGCTGGCTTTCATAAAATAGCACCAGGAAAGGAAACCCTAAAGCTCAGCTTCAGCAGAGAGCAATACAGTGGCATGCAAATGGCTGGAACATCACAATGTGAATGAACACAAAATTCATGGAACACCCCAGTATGATGAGACAACAGTCTCAAGGAAAATAAGACAATAGAAAACTTAAGATTAATAGGCCATTTGTAGATGTCGTGTGTAAACATCAGTACTAAAGTGAGGGATTTCCCTTGCGATGATTTCGGGGCTTAGTGTCCCTGCGGCCCGGTCCTCGACCAGACCTGATTGGTTGCCGACTCCCTTTACTGCTATTGCAGTAACACTTGGTGGCAATTGGTGTACCTCTGAACTACTGACAATAGTTTGCAGAGGAAAAGTAGGTGGTCGTAGTACAGTACTTCAAATTTTTTATTGAAAGGTGATGTTTGAGTTGTGATTTGTTCTTTTGTATAATACAGTAGAGAGATGATATGTTCGAGGTGACTTGAGTTAGACTCGTCACTGTCCTCCTTTCCTAGATATGTAACAAGACCACTCACAAAGATCCACTGTTGAGTGCCACTGGGCACTCACCAGTGATTCCCTAGCACATATACCTCCTGTATGACCCTAGAGCGATGATTGAAAATTCCCTGTGGTCCTATACTGTATGTTGTGATGACTGAGTTTGTTCCTTTACATGGCCACATGTCACTTAATTTTAGAAAACCTGAATGCAATACAATGCTTCAAATTTTTTTTAATTATTGTGCATTGCCAGCATCTCTATACACTCACAGAGCACAGCACCAGGAAATATTCAAACAACTTTTCTTGTATAAGGTATTGATAGGATTACAAGATTAATTAGCAATTTACAATGAATGTAAAATACAAATTAATACTTACAAGTTGTTTCAAGTACCAGTGGAAGACCTTGAACTGATGCTAAAGTGGCTGGATAGCCAGTTAGAGGCTTCTCTACCTCTTTATAGATTATGCAGCACTCAGACTTTATAGATGACTCGTGTGGAAAATCTGCTATGATGCTCCATGTCAAGTGATTCATCAAGCGTACCTAAAATTATGATATTTTAAACATTTTTATTCATTGCTACTTATTGTAATTATTTGTAAACAGTCTTATAATAGTATATATGACATCTGGAGTGTCTTTGAGGCAAAAAACAGAATTACTGTATTTCTTAATAAAATCCTTTTTCTAATGATGATTTCTTTTCCTAGAGTAATGTTTAGAGTGCAACTTGATTTAGCAACCAATAATATGTCTTTAGACTACTATTCATATACAATGTCTTACAAACAAATTATACTTCTTAACTTTTTCTATATCCTTAATAATAATTCCCTCTAGAATCTTAGGAAACCTATGAGTTGAATATTTCACAATTATTTCAGCTACTGATTATGTCCACCTACTAGAGATTTTAAAGTACTGTACTAAAGTATAGAGAGCAGCATTTTATGCATCTCACACAACACCCAGCTAAACGAGACTTCCTTTAGCTTATTATATTTTTAGTCAGTGGGGACTTGTGTCCTTCATCATTGCTCAGAGAAGGGACATGATGTTTGTAGGCCAATTACTCTCTCTCTCTCACGATTGATTGTCCAATGAAAATTTGTCAGTTTCAGCATTGTTGGTTTCCCAGTGCATCAGGAAATTATGGGTACTGTACTTTGTCATCTGCTAGTTTGGTTCTTATGGATTGTTTTCTGCTTTCAGAATGTTTTCTCAATGTTTTCTGTATCAATTGTCAACCAATTTTCTCCCCAGCACCCATGTTGGAGCCAAGGTCTTTTACACCCATAGGTATGTAAAGTGTCTAATCACTGGACTTCGATTTTGGCAGACCCCCGTTCTCGGGCTGTGGCCTGTCATGCAGCAAATTATTGCTTAAACACCATATTATATGTTGTAGTTCCCAGCTTCACCTGGTCAGGAGGCTCTTTTCTTTGAAACTGTTTAAGAGGCTTTTCTGGGGGAGCCCTGTCAGCTTCCCGAAGCAGACGAGTGCTTTTAATGAATTTATAGAAAAGGCCTGGATTTGTTTTACATTTGTCCACTACCCCTTTTTCAAAGTTCCTTTCTGCCTTTCTCCTCACTGTTGCATGTTTGTAGTGCTGGTATGTTTGAGGGTTATGCCTCTTCCTATATTGTACCCATTTTCTTGTCTTTTCCTCTCTGGTTGTCTCACAATTTCTGTTGAACCAATCCTGTTTTCTGGTTTTGCATCTCTGTAATGGTATTTATTTTTTTGTGCCTTTATCATATATTCAACAGAATTTGGCATACTTCTCATTTACTTTCTTGCCTAGCAACAAGTCTTTCCAATTAAATTCATTAAAGAATTTGCTAAGTTCTCCATAGTGTCCTCTCATGAAATCAAGCTTATCACTTACAGTATTTCAATTTAGCCATTCTCTTCCAGACTACATCGCATAGCATATTTAATTTTCAACCGGACATGGTCATTCTTTCCAAAGGGAGGAAGGTACAAAATGTCAAATATCTCCTCTTCTTTCCTGGTGAATACTAAATCCAGTATTAACAGAACATCCCCTTCCCTCATTCTTGTGGCCTGCTTACTGTGTTGATACATGAATGTCTCCAGGATGAGGTTTACAAATCTGCCTGTCCAAATGTCCTCAGGTTCTTATTTCTTGGGCCTCCCAGTCTAATGCTTCCAAGTTAAAGTCTCCCGGCACAAAAAACTTATTTATCTTTATCTGCTCTTACTATAATCTCTCTCACGATCCCTATGAGGCCTTGTCATCTGTCATCTTAGAACATACAGTATACACACCTCTGACAATCTTAGAACATATACACACTAAGGCAACTATCAAACAGTTATACACTAGGGTAATCTTGGTATAGTTACACACCAGGGCCACCCTGAAACATACATACACCTTAAAACATATACAAATTAGACAGAGAGCATCTGGGAACATATGGCACACACTGAGAACCACTGTTCTAGAGGATATTCCAGCTGGAAAGCATCCTTTAGTATCCTCCTCCAGTACTCCCTAGTATCATTATAACTGTGGGAATCATCTAAAAAGTTTCCTGTAGTGACAGTACCTCACTGCATGTTACAGTTCCTACTGAGACAGTACAGTGGTACCTCGGAATGCGATTGTCCCTATATGCGAGGTTTTCGGAAGGCGAGGTGTATTTACTCCAAAAATTTGTCTCAGAAGGCGAGGGTTACTTCGGGAGGCGAGTTTGGACGCGAGTTTGTTGATACGCGTAAAGCCGACCTAGCGCGTTCGTCGCCCCTCCGCCCCTCAGTTTATTATTGTCTCGCGCTCAGTGACTACCCCCACATCAATTCTTCTCGCGGATTTTCAGTGTTTTGTTGGATTTTTGGTGATTTGTCTATACAATTTGTTATTATATATCTCACCATAGGTCACAAGAAAGCCAGTGGTAAGGATAAAGGCCAGAAAGCTCATGTGAGGATGACAATAGAGGAGAAACAAGAGATCATTCGGAAGCATGAGAACGGTACACGTGTTGTTGAACTTTGTAGGCAGTACAACAAAGCCACATCAACAATATGCACTATACTTAAGAAGAAAAATAAGATTATGGGTGCTAAAGTGGCAAAAGGAGTAAGAACATTAACGGCACAAAGACCACAAATACTTGAAGAAGTGGAAAAGTTGTTATTAATTTGGATACACGACAAGGAGTTGAGGGGTGATAGTGTTTCGGAGGCCATTATTTGTGAGAAAGCCAGGGTGTTGCACGAAGACCTTCTAAAGAATACCCCTGCAACGAGTGATGGAGATAAGAAAGAGTTTAAGGCAAGCAGGGGCTGGTTTGAAAAATTTAGAAAGAGAAGTGGTATCCATAGTGTTACAAGGCATGGGGTTATGTGATGTGATTATGGAAGGGGACTCCCCTTCCAAACAGTAACTCCTCTCCTCCTCCCCCCTCCTCACCATCTTCCATACGCCTACAGCACTCGACAGCAAGGTAAGTAATAACTGGAACACAGTTTTGTAGGTTTATTTAGATGAATTAGGTAAATTAGGTATAAAAATTTAGTTTGATGTGGGGTTTTTGGGGTAGTCAGGAACGGATTAATTCATTTCCCTTTATTTCTTATGGGGAAATTAACTTCGGAATGCGAGTTTTCGGAAGGCGAGGCGTCTCCAGGAACGGATTAAACTCTTATTCTGAGGTATGCCTGTACAAGTTTACTTTATGGAGCAATCAAGTACCTTCACTCAGACATGCATTTTTAACATACTGTACACTTAAAAGCCTATTTTTCTGTATACTGTACTGTGATTTTGTCTGGTTATTTCATGCACACACTAAATGAAATTCAGTGATTTGACAAAAACACTTACCTTCTGATCATAACTACCAATTGCTAGGAACTGGCCAGAGGGAGACCAAGCTACTCCTTTTATGCCAAGTGACCATTGGTATGCAGAATAGGTCGCCAGACACTGCCCACTAAGAGAATAAATAAGGACTTTATACTCTAGTGGAGATTCCCATATGGTAAGAACTGAGCCATCACTGGACCACTGAACACCTGCTAGATCTTTTGTTCCTACCTCAAAGTGCTGAGAAAGCAAAGTGTAATTAGAATATGGGTTATGCATGACTACTATCATTAAATAAATTTACAATACTGTATATGCTAAAATTTGATTTCTAAAATTCATGCCAAAGGGTATTATACATGATTGTCAAAATCTTGTATAATATCCTAGCACAAAATAAAAAAATATGAACTCCATCCATTATATACTGTATCTCTTAACAATTTAACTTGTTTACAGGAGCATTTATTTATTAAATTGATTTATTTATTGAATTATCATTAATTTGAAATATGTATTTAGAATACATAATGAATTATGGCTTAGAATACATACAGTACAGACACTCCTTTATTTGTGCAAGTTCAGAAAATGTTAATTCAAATCTACATACATACATGGTTTTGTTTATTAATGACAAAATTTGAAAAGCATGTGGAATTTGCATGTAGACAATTTGGCATGAGGCTTGTACTGTAACGCAAAAGATGGTGCTTTAATGTGCAATTCCCACACACCACTCTCAACTCATGGCTGCTTGCAATTATCTTGTTTTTTATGCACTTGACATTTTTGCTTCTTGGCATCTCTCGGGCATTCTGCAATTTATGTCTTATATATATTTATGGCAGGACGTCAGAGGAGAGAGGATGGTTGTTTGAGATCAACAGAGCCCTTGTGAGCCAAAGTGACCACCTACAAGCCACACCTTTGGAGATCACCTGCCAAACTTAAGAGACTCTGCCCTAAGCCTTGTAAAATACCTGAAGCAATACCACTCATCACCCTATTACTGTGACTTACCAAGAAAGAGCATGCAAAAGGGCAAGCAGCTGCTATGCGACCTTCCTGCAATAGGAAGAGCCTGCTTCCCCATAAGTAGGCCAGGAATAAGCACATAAATCTCCAGCGAAGGAGGAAATGCATGCAAACCTAAGTGCCTCTACCTTACACCTTAGGCCCCAAAGATGGCCCTCTAGGAGCCATGAATTGAGAAAGACCAACTCTGCCTCACTTCAGCTTGAAACTTTGGGTAAAAAATTGGAAGGAGGACCGAGTATTCAATGGCATAAAATATATCTACCATCACATCCTGAAGAAACAAGGCAAGGTCTTAGCAATTCCATGGCATGTAATGTACAAGACAGCAAGTAATCCACCATGGCAAGTACACTGTACCCTGCAAGCTTGAGCTGAAGCTGGGAAGTAAAAAACTTCTGACTTGCGTGTATTATACCTATATCCCATCATCCAAGTGGGTATGTGCTCTTAAGTCCACTGTACTGAAAGGCTGCAGCCAGAGAAGAACTTAAACATGCAGCTGTTAAGATGCCATACTGTGAGGAAGGACCAAGACACGGATAGCTTTATTAAGCTGATTCAACTGCTCCCCTGCCAGTACCCACTACAAATACAAATTTGTAGTGGGTACTGGATAAATTTGATATGATCCATCACCTTTCTGACCACACCATAACTTTACCTCCCTAATTTCTACCCCTTTCTCCTTTTTTGTTTCTTTATGAGAACCCTTTTTTTTTTTGCAGGGATATTCCTGCACGGGCCCTAAGACTCTGGCTGGCCAATAACAAGTCTTGCTTGTTTCTGTTTTACTTGGGCAGAGTATGAGTATTTATGACTCGTATGGTCACTTCAGTAAGATTTTGCCATATGTGTTTAACAACTTCTGCTCTGTTGAATCTAAGTTGAAATCTTAATGGGATTGTAACTGTGCACTGTGTTAGATAATGTTCCAATGTCTGTCGGGCATTTCTCCACAGTGCTGACATTTCCTCTCATCTTCTGGAACCTGTAAGCCTATTTCCCATGCACATGGGTATCCAAGACTGATGCGATGTAAGTATACTTCTGTTGCTCTACTGCTCTCTTTCATCAAACTAAGTGGTTCATAGTTGGTTGAATTCTTGTACCAACCCACAGATCCTGATGTTGCAACTGCTGTGTTGTAGTCACTGTACATCTTTTGCATTGCTCTGTTTCTAATTACTTTCTTAATCTGTGATAGACTCTGTGGTATGTAAATGTCTACATTTCTTCTCTTAGTTGCAAGTTTTGCAGCTTCGTCTGCAATGTCATTTCCTATTATTCCTGTACTAACCCTGTGTATCTCTAGTCAGCTAGTCAGATCATGGCCAAAAGATTCAGGGTTTGATTCCTATGGCAGGACAGAAGGGTTTGGACAACATTTTCTTTCCCCCTGATACCTTTATTCACCTAACAGTAAACAGGTACCAGGGAGTTAGACAACTGTTGTGGGGTGCATCCTGGGGAAGGCCAGTAGATGGCCTAGGAGGACCTCAAAAACTTATACTGCGGAAAACTAAAATAGTAATGAATGGTAATATTCAATAAACAAAAAATAGCAAATTACAAAAAAAAATAGTAGTAGAGTAATTACCTTGACTAGCTGCCATGACTTTGTTTCAAAAAGAGAGAGAAAGTCTTTACACACTCGTCTCTCAGCCACAACCAAATAATCATGCTCGGGACTGAACTGCAATCCTTGCACAATGTTTTTTGGGTGTTTTATGTGTGAGACTGACTTGTTAACCAGAGACCATACTGTTATTCGTAACTGTTGATAGAATTAAAAGAATAAATTATAAATCTAGAGTAGGTGAATCAATATAGAATAGACTAGTCTGGGAAATTTAACACTATAAGATTAATGAAGTACCGTATTGAACTGTACAGAACACGTAAAGAGAAATTAGATTTTTGAAAATTATATATTTAATAGTGCATGTATAGGGGATGTAGATAATTATAGTTAATTTTTAAATACAACCAACTTTTTGCAAAGAAATTGGTGATAAGATTTCGGGTACAGTGGATTTCCTTTCCATATACAGTACAGTATAGTATTGTATACCAGTCCAAGGAAAAATCAGGAAGAAAAGAATTCCAATATGGATAATGTGCAATGTAATGGATTATGGACAACATATTCCCTGAAACATCAAATTTGCATTCCCATAAGAGTAAATAAATTCAATAAAGTTTAATATTTTGCATTCATTATTTCTTTTTCAAAGTGATTTTGGTACAGTACTGTACAGTATATCATTTTCGTAACTAGATCCACAATAATTGTGGGCAAAAATAACAAAGATCTGTTGCATAGAGAAGGTTCAGAACCAAGCTTTCAATTTGAACCGAAATCCACCCTACTGCACTTTTTATTTATGATTTTCTTACACAGAACTCGGCTGTAGTTAAGACATGCCGACTATCTGGAGCCCAGCAGATTTTTAAAAGGCCAGCTGATCCTTCATCTATCTTGCATCTCCAATCTGGGTCTTCAATAGACCATATCTCAGCAATACAACGCTTATAGTTGGCTGTGAGCACATAGCAGGAATCAGGCGCCCATTCCACTACCTGAGAAAACAGTATATACAAATTATATTTTTTTTATACAACATAAGTATAATGTACTTAAAAATTATTTTAGTATTATGCCCTCAGATTATTTGTTCAGCCTTGTATATATTTTTACAGCAGACCATACAAAATTTGGAGTTCTAATAACATGAAATGCCTAAATTAGAATAGTTTAATAATATTACACTCTCCTACAGTGTTTCTAGAAAATATTTTAAAACAGAATATATTTTAATGTAATTCCATGATGATAGTTTTTCTGATACTGTCGTTGCCTGTACAGTACTTCTGATCCACCATTGTTAGCTTTTCCTCAAGTGATATTTTTGGTGATTTTCCTCAATTGAACAAATTTTTATATTTAATACATTTGCTGTACTGTATACAGTACATTGTAATTTTAAAGAAATACTATAATGAGTATATTAAGGAACAATAGTAGAGTAAACCATTGTCAACTTTACCATTCAACAATTATATTAACATTTAGGTACCAAGTACTATATATACAAATTACTGAATTCAGAAATCTGGAAATCACTTTGTCAAAATACAACAAAGTTCTTAATTAAATAACTGCCATCAATTTACCTATTTATAAATCAAACAGTGACTGTGATGAAATACCTACTTCTTGTGAACTCTCAGTAGATTCCTGGAACTTATCCACTTATGCAGTTAAGTCTTGGAATCATACCAGATCTCTGATACCCACACTGATATAAAGTGAGCCATAACCAGAAATGGTCAAGATGTTTCAAAAGAATGTTTGACACACCCTGAATGTAAAATGAACTGAGGAGTAAATTCTGAGAAGTCAGAAGTGAGGTTATCAGAGTCTACACTCGAAATATGCATTGCGCATTCTCTCCTGTAAATACAATGACACAAGGGTATAAATTGAACAAAGAGCAGGATACCTGAGAAAGCTGGATGGTTTGAAATGCCACCAAGACCAACTCAAATTCTCACATCATGATGTGTGCCCACTACAAATGAGGAGACAACCAGCCCTGACTGGCAAGGTAATAACTGGAGACGAAACCCACAGCCCAAGGCCTAATGCATACATCGGCATCTCAAGTGATGAAGGAGGATGCAACGAAACTCCATCCAAAAAACGTAAGGAGGAAAATGATGTTGCAAGATCCTTTCACTTAGGCAAAATGTGCAATATTTATATAAGTACACAGCTACCTATTTCAACTATCTATCAACGGGCCTCACAATGGAGAGCAAGTCCCGGTAGTACAGTCGGGTTAGTTCTCGACGCACAATTGGGAATTCCGGGTTCGAATCCTAGGTGGGACAGAAATGGTTGGGCACATTTCCTTTCACATAATGCCTCTGTTCCCCTAGCAGTGATTAGGTATTCAGGAGTTAGACAGCTTCTTGTGGCTTCCTGTTCCCCGACAGTGAATTATACATTAAGTCCCACACATTACACTGAAGCTAGTGACTGAAGAGGGGCCAACTCATAAAGGAGGAAACTGAACCTCTAAGAGACGGTATCTTGGTGGACCCTCACCCATCCTACTAGTTAGAGGTGGGGCTCATGCTGTCCACTAGCCAATACCATCAGTTCTGGAGTAGATGTACAAATGAAAAGACCCCAAACCAATGACCCAGAAGAAAGGGAGGGAATCAGGGAGCTACTGGAGCTGTCCCAGAAAGAGGCATGTCATTTCATCCAATACTGGGTTTCTGGGAAGGGAGCCCGCTGTGGCTCCCTGAAGCTAACTATCCATGGAGGAGAAAGAAAAGGGACTCTCCAGGGAAAAGGAGAAACTGCAGGCAGTCATAGTGAAGGTGGTGGATGCCAACACCATCAGTACAGTAATTTCAAAAAGTACTGGGAAGATAGTACACCACAATGTAGCCCTCATCCTATAACTGCACACACAGGAGTCAATAGATTAGACAACCAATGGTTAGAAAGGCGGGGTCCAAGAGTTTATAGTTAAATCCGGCAGGCACAAATAGTACTGTAAATACAGTACAATCCCCAAGGTGCAGTCCGTAGCAGCTGTCAACTCCCAGGTACTGTGCAGTACTTATTTACTCCTAAGGGAACAGAGGCATCAGATGAAAAAACTCTGCCACTTTGTTTCTGCCTTGGCAAAGAATCAAACCTGGGGCCCTGGACATTAACTTTTAAGCACTGTCCACTCGGCTGTGAGAATCTGTCCATGGCTCTGTATGACCTGGGCCGTCAGCAGGTGGTGGTCAAGTGTATTAAGGTTAAGGTTTAACTTGTTTGTATCAGGGCTCATTTCTTTCTTTCAGTTACTTGTTCTGCTTTACTCAATCTTTCTGGTAGGTTTTCTCGGTGCAGGGTAGCTCTGTAATCTCAAGCTCCCCTCTAATCACCTAGCAGTGAATAGGTATAATCATAGAGAGCGTCAGATGCTGGTCCAGGCTCTCGGTAGATCTGCATGGGTCTCATAGGCCTAGTACGAATCCAAGACTTGGCTATACCAGCATATAAGCTCCAGGGAATTACCAAGAAAAACTGCTTATAAAACAATGGGAGAAACTTGGGAGAGACATTCTCATATATCCGACAGTAGCTCGAGGTGTGAATCACAGTACTGTACAGTACTATATATACTGTACTCTCTATGAGTATAAATACAACAAAATCACAGTATTTGGGTTATATAAATAAAACCTAAATTGATTACATACCTGGATTAAATCAGTGCAGTTATAAGTAACTAAAGTCTGTAGTGAAGATAAGGCTCTAATTTCTAATCTTGCTGTCACAGGTACAGCACAAAAACGACCATCCGGAGACCACGCTAACTGGCTTCCATTTGTTCTTAGTACCTCAGCAAAATTCATGCTTGGATACAGTAGCTGTAGAAATAATATGCAAAACAAACACTGTACTTGCTGTTTTGGTTCTGGGTGAAAAAATAAATTAATGTTCTGAATATACAGTTATAAAATTCCTTCATTTTTTTTAGCATTTAAATACCTATTTGTGACATCAACAACTCTTGAGAAATCTAAATGGAATCTAATAAGGGCAAGATAAAAGTTAAGAAAACATAAGCTTTCTTATTTTAAATGCTTCTTATTATAAATATTGTACTGTACAATATCCTATCTGCCATATTTTAAACTTTTTTTTATTTTGATTTTGAGTTTGTGGAGAACCCTACTAATAATGACACCTGGGTCCTTTTAGCTTTCAGATTTGGCAAGTTCAACATTATGTAATATTTAATAACCTAATTACATTATCATTCCCTAGGCTTAAAATCCAACATTTGTGGCTCATTATATACCTGTCACTACATTTGTTTCTTGTTCAAGACTGAGTTTTACCCTGTAACTTAACATTGGTGGCAAATTTGGTGCATCTTTAAGACTTGCCAAAAATGCTATGCATGTTAAGTGACTATGCAAGAATGTACCACATAATAACCAAAATATATACTTTCACAGCCAATTGTATCTTTTGTACATGAATGAATGAATGAATAAATAAATAAATAAATAAATAAAATTTTGATTTTGACTTTTGCATATTTTAAGTGTCTAAATTGTACTATTGCAATTTTGAGTTTTCTGAATTTATTCCCCACCCTATTTTAGTGTCATCAGCGGGTACATAATTAGCAACTGTACTAACATTGCAGTTCAATCCTGTATTTAAATCATTTATAATTATAATAAACATGAAAGGTCCAAGGACACAATGGAAGGTCCATTTGCAACAATTTTCCACTTGGATCTGACTTACTTTGTGTTGACCTTTCTTTTTATATAATTACTGTATGCCCAAATTCATTGTAAGATAGGACATCCAAAACAATTTTTTACAATCTTAATCAATCTTTTTGTGAAATACAATATAAAGGGGGATATAATATCACAATATTTTGTACTATCAACTGCAGAAAATATGCTGGAAAATAATGAGTATGTAAACACGAAAGACAGTATGTATCCTGAAATTATCAATTATTTTTTAAGATATGTATGAATGCAATTTTCCCCACAATCAACGCTAAGCTAATTGGCAAATGGTTTGATATGGGCGTTTTTCTTAAGAATTGTTAACACAATGGCAAACGTGCATGATATCGGTGCTCTGGTTGACCCTAATGACTCGTCAAATATAAATACAATGGCTTATACACGACCCTTGGCAAACTCTCGAGTTTGGTCCAGGGCAACAATGGTCTACAAATCTACACATTGAAAAACTTCAAGCAGATATTAATAAAGTTTTTGACTGGGCAACAGAAAATAAAATGATGTTTAGCAGTGATAAATTCCAAGTACTCAGGTACGGTAAAAATGAGGACCTTAAACATAATACAGGGTACAAAACACAATCAAATGTGCCCATAGTAGGAAAGCAGCATGTAAAGGACTCTGGAAAAATCATGTCTGATGACCTTACGTTTAGCAAATATTGCATCAGCCAGAAAAATGATTGGATGAATTACGAGAACTTTCAAATCCAGGGTCCCATCACAATGGTTGTACTATACAAATCACTTGTACTGTCCCATCCTGAGTACTGCTAATTACTCACTTCCCCCTTCAGAGCAGGAGAGATTGCTGAAATAGAGGGAATACAGAGAACATATACGACATAAATAGACACAATAAAGCACCTAAATTATTGGGATCGTCTCAAAGCTCTCCAAATGTACTCACTAGAAAGACAAGAGAGATATCAAATAATATACACGTAGAAGATACTGGAGGGCCAAGTACCAAATCTACACAGTAAAATAACGTACTGGAGTGAACAATATGGAAGAAAATGCAGAATAGAACCAGTGAAGAGTAGGGGTGCCATAGGCACAATTAGAGAACACTGTATAAACATCAGAGGTCCGCGGTTGTTCAACGTCCTCCCAGCGAGCATAAGAAATATTTCCAGAACAACCGTGGACATCTTCAAGAGGAAAAAAGATTGTTTCCTCCAAGGAGTGCCAGACCAACCGGGCTGTGGTGGGTATGTGGGTCTGCGGGCCGCTCCAAGCAACAGCCTGGTGGACCAAACTCTCACAGGTCAAGTCTGGCCCCGGGCCGGGCTTGGGGAGTAGATGAATTTCCTGAACCCCATCAAACCAGGTATCAACCAACCAGGTCTCCGTTTTACCTACAATTCTTCCCCCCGTCAGTCCTTGAAGCGTAATTTACACCAACATACCGTATGGTAATTCAGTGATTAGATAAGAGAGAGTTCGATGATACCAACAATGTATGAGGAGGCAGTAAATGGGGTGTGATGTGGCAGTAAGGAAGATTGTCAGCGGCGTCAGCTGGCACCACCTTTGTTTGTTTACCTTCAACACCCTCCCCCCACCCCCTTATCCATCACCCCCCCCCTCCCCCACTCCACTCAGGCTCTTCCTTTAGCATATTAACACTAACATTATAATTTTCCTATCTCTCACGGAATAAAACTCACGAAAAAAAGTCTGAGAGAAATAATCGGTGGTGAGTGGGAATTAAGGCGTGGTGGGAGGAGGAGGAGGAGGCCGGGGCGTGTTATTTTGGTTTATCTTAAAGGTCCGGGTGAAGTATCTGTGGAGCATCAGTAGTGTTGTGGTGGTGGAGTCCTCAGGGGCCTCCCTCGCCTCTCCTCACACACTCTTTCTCTTCTCTTGTTCACACCTACTTACTCTTATACTCGAGGATATACGCCAGTCAAAGAAGAAATTAGCCTGATATAGTTAATTCCGTCCTTAAGGTAAGTGCAGGCGCCCTGCTACCTTGACGGCCTGACCTGCTAGGAAGCTCCTCATTAGTCTACTTTGGCTTCAGTTCACTTATCTTTGCCGGGGTGAATGTCGTATTTGTGTGGTAACCTATGCCAGGCCAGTGAGTAGAATATAGGATTTGTAAATGCAGTGGGATTGGAAATTGATCCAAGTTAGGGGCTTCGTAGGTATTTTTGTAATGAAATTATGTCTTGTATTTAACATTCTTTTAAACTGTAGATTTGTATGATTGTGCAGGATGCAGTGCTCTCGTGAAGCACAAGGGCTGCCTGAGGGCAATTATATGCTAAAACATTTCAGCAAAGCTATATAAAAACGGTTAATTCTGCAATAAGTTAGCTCTTCCACATCTGTCATACAACTGTTGTAAAGCAACACATTGCTTTGATCATAAAATATAGCTTTAGACACTTTGATGTTACCACTGGCGGGTTTCATCTTGGCAGTATTTAGCTCAGGGATTTTGCACCACTAATGACAGATTTGAACAAGCATAAATTATGGACCAAACTGTTCTCGCACCCAATATCACTATATAATTGAATGTAAATCAATTAAAACAGGTAAAAATATTCAGCTTAAATGACAAATGGTATTAAATATTTTGTAGCCAAGTATCCCAGATTTGTCTAATGTAGGTAAACTACTTTATGTATTATTATTAATTGTAGCCAATCTAATTAAAGAATACCAATTTGTGAGCTAAACAAATATTGAGGTCTAATTCCTAAATTTATTAGGCATTTATGATCAACAACCACTGTTGTTGTTCATCCATGTCCAAGCTATGTTCATCCACTGGATGAACATGACTTTCATAATAATCTTGTTAAACTAAACTGTGTGTGTGGGGTATGTGGATGTAGGAGTTGATCTGGCACAAGAATGATTTTAAGTAATGTAAATAAAATTAAAGTATTCAAAGCTCACTATGAAGAAAGATAAAACCGGGTTAAAATGCAGGCATCAAGAAACTCTTTATTGTATTAACAAAATGTAAAAGTGAAAGCTTGACTTGTCATGTACCTAATTATTAATAATAAATTAATTGAAGCATTGAGATTCATTGCAATGTTCATGATTTTTATGAATTAAAGTTAATGGTATTGAAGTGGAAGGATATAATGTTTTACAAGCATTAAGAGTGTACCATATGAAGAGTAATAGGAAGGAATAATTATTATATTGAGCAGTATAAAATGGTAAGGTAATGGAATTTAAGATTCAGTATATATATCATGGCTATTCACTACCTTATCAGACAGACGACAAGATATATTTTTGGGCGGGTATTATAATAATAATATAATTCATTGTGTCAGGGGACAGGAAGCCAGAGTATATTCATACACACACACACACATACATACATACATACATACATACATACATACATATATATATATATATATATATATATATATATATATATATATATATATATATATATATATATATATATGACTCCTTCTGAAGATGTATTAATATACAAAAGTACTTAAGGAAATTCCTGTTTCATTTTTCCTCCGTGGTCTGACATTGTCACATTCTTAATCACGTGTTTATTTTCGTGATATGTATACACACACACATATATATATATATATATATATATATATATATATATATATATATATATATATATATATATATATATATATATATATATATATATATATATATATATATATATATATATATATATATATATATATATATATATATATATATATATATATATATATATATACTGTATATATATAATTATATATATATATATATAATAATAATAATAATAATAATAATATTTTGTAGGTGGCTATTCTGTTTACATCAGTCTCTGCTATTTGCACATGAGGCTGCAGGCAGGCTCTTAAATATTGCCTCTGGGAGTCCCAATTCTTGGCTAATGAGGGTTCTCTGAAGCCCTCTTTCATCTTTCGGGAGGATTTGGACATTGTTCCACACAGAACAGGAAGGGAATTGGTCAATGTCCTGGTTCTGGGTTCCAAGTAGCTGCTGAATTGCCTGTAAGATGCTCGGCATATCATACTTGCCCACAGGCAAGTATGGACATAGACAAAATGTTCACACGGAATAGTAACAGAACGAGGGGACATGGATGGAAGCTTGAAACTCAGATGAGTCACAGAGATGTTAGGAAGTTTTCTTTTAGCGTGTGAGTAGTGGGAAAATGGAATGCACTTCAGGAACAGGTTGTGGAAGCAAATACTATTCATAATTTTAAAACCAGGTATGATAGGGAAATGGGACAGGAGTCATTGCTGTAAACAACCGATGCTCAAAAGGCGGGATCCAAGAGTCAATGCTCGATCCTGCAGACACAACTAGGTGAGTACAGGCTGTGGTGCCCAAAGGGCATCAATTTGCTTCTTTTTTTTTTTGAGATATATACAAGAGTTGTTACATTCTTGTACAGCCACTAGTACGCGTAGTGTTTCGGGCAGGTCCCTGGAATACGATCCCCGCCGCGAAGAATCGTTTTTACAACCAAATACTGTGCCCATTTTACTGTTGAGTTAAACAGAGGCTACAGGTTAGGATTTGTGCCCAGTAAATCCTCCCCGGCCAGGATACGAACCCATGACAAAGTGCTCGCGAAATGGCAGGCGAGTGTCTTACCACTACACCACGGAGACTGGTGTACTGCCTGTACCCACCCCTACTGGCAACTGCTCATGCAGTTGCCAGTAGGGGCTGGTTTGGGGCTTGTTCAGAGTGGCCAAAATCTGTCAGAGCAGTCTGCTCCTCCCACTTCCTGATGGTGGGACTTACTTCCTGCCCAGTGACTCTAAAGCTTGCCATTCATCATATTTGGTGGAGGAGGGGGATTCAATTGATGCATGTAGTTGTTTGAACAGGCAGCATTTATATTACCCATTATATTACTTTGCCTATTATATTACCCATTATATTACTTTGCCTATTATATTACCCATTATATTATGTTGCCTATTATATTACCCATTATATTACTTTGCCTATTATATTACCCATTATATTACTTTGCCTATTATATTACCCATTATATTACTTTGCCTATTATATTACCCATTATATTACCCAGTAAATTATTCCAGAAATCTACATCCCTATTCCCAAGCCAGTATTCTTTTCTGAATCTAAATTTAGCCAATTTGTATGCATTGTATTGTTTGGTTTGATATATTTAGCATCTTGTTAATTGTCTACCTGTTATACCCCTTCACCCATTTGTACATTTGCCATCTTCCTGGTAACTCTTTGCCTTTCTAAAGTTTGTAAATTAGGCTTTCTTAATCTCTTTTCATGTGGGAAGTTTCTCACTTTTGAAAATAACTTTATCCTTCTCTGTATATTTCAGCGGATTTACGCCCATTTTATTGTATTGTATTTATTTATTGTATTTATTGTATGGAGCCGGTCGGCCGAGCGGACAGCACGCTGGACTTGTGATCCTGTGGTCCCGGGTTCGATCCCGGTCGCCGGCGAGAAACAATGGGCAGAATTTCTTTCACCCTATGCCCCTGTTACCTAGCAGTAAAATAGGTACCTGGGTGTTAGTCAGCTGTCACGGGCTGCTTCCTGGGGGTGGAGGCCTGGTCGAGGACCGGGCCGCGGGGACACTAAAGCCCCGAAATCATCTCAAGATAACCTCAAGATTGTTCTCAAAACTGAACTGCTAATATAAATGGGGGTGTAACAAGCCCAAGGTTAAGGGAAGAATAGCACAGCCTAGATATTTTAATAATTATAATTCACTTTGTTGGGGACAGGAGTTAGGTTGTCATAGGTGTTCCATCGGAGTAGTTATTTTCCCAACCAACACAGCCATGTTCTCTCCCCAAACCAACACAGCAATCATTCCCCTCGTAAATTTTTAATGGCCAATCCTCCAACATAGCAGTCCTCACCCCCCTCCCCCCCACCAACACAGCCTCCCCCCCTCCACCAACACAACCTCTTCCCCCTCCACCAACACAACCTCTCCCCCCTCCACCAACACAACCTCTCCCCCCTCCACCAACACAACCTCTTCCCCCTCCACCAACACAACCTCTCCCCCCTCCACCAACACAACCTCTCCCCCCTCCACCAACACAACCTCTCCCCCCTCCACCAACACAACCTCTCCCCCCTCCACCAACACAACCTCTCCACCAACCCCCTCCCCCCTCCACCAACACAACCTCTCCCCCCTCCACCAACACAACCTCTCCCCCCTCCACCAACACAACCTCTCCCCCCTCCCCCAACCACCTCTCCCCCCTCCACCAACACAACCTCTCCCCCCTCCACCAACACAACCTCTCCCCCCTCCACCAACACAACCTCTCCCCCCTCCACCAACACAACCTCTCCCCCCTCCACCACACAACCTCTCCCCCCTCCACCAACACAACCTCTCCCCCCTCCACCAACACAACCTCTCCCCCCTCCACCAACACAACCTCTCCCCCCTCCACCAACACAACCTCTCCCCCCCTCCACCAACACAACCTCTCCCCCCCTCCACCAACCAACCTCCCCCCTCCACCAACACAACCTCTCCCCCCTCCACCAACACAACCTCTCCCCCCTCCACCAACACAACCTCTCCCCCCCTCCACCAACACAACCTCTCCCCCCCTCCACCAACACAACCTCTCCCCCCTCCACCAACACAACCTCTCCCCCCCTCCACCAACACAACCTCTCCCCCCCCCCTCCACCAACACAACCTCTCCCCCCCTCCACCAACACAACCTCTCCCCCCCTCCACCAACACAACCTCTCCCCCCTCCACCAACACAACCTCTCCCCCCTCCACCAACACAACCTCTCCCCCCTCCACCAACACAACCTCTCCCCCCTCCACCAACACAACCTCTCCCCCCTCCACCAACACAACCTCTCCCCCCTCCACCAACACAACCTCTCCCCCCCCTCCACCAACACAACCTCTCCCCCCTCCACCAACACAACCTCT